GTCCCATCATCGGGTTGAGCTGCAGTGTATCGAACGTCAGCTCTCACTACATTCCGAATGCCGAGTACCACGAGTGGAAGAGGTTTGGTCCATTGTGAAACGTTTGCAGTTGCGAGTGGGGCTTTGAGCCGTCGGTGAAATCGTTCTGCCTACCCGTCAGCTTGTGGGTGGTAGGCGGCCGTTCAGAATCGTGTGATTCCTAATAGTGTGGTCAAACAACGAAAACGTTCATATTCGAACTGGCGTCCATGATATGTAGTGAAAGCTGAAGGGCAGCCGAAGTTTGACACCCATCGCTCAACGAAAGAGAGAGTAACTGTTTCGGCAGTTGTGTCCTTGATAGGGACTGCTTCTGGCCGTCGAATAAAACGGCCTACATAGCTTAAGAAATAAGAGTATCCATTTGAATCTGGTTAATGTTCTTCCAAATCCAGATGGACATGGTCGAAACGAGCATCGTGAGTCTTGAGACAGCCTCAGGGGCGTTCGTTGCGTCTTATCATCTCAGATTTCTTGCAGCTTACACAGGAGCGTGCCCACTCCCTCACGTTTTCATTCATACTAAACCAGCAAAATCGTTTTGCCATGAGCTTGATGGTTACACAAACACCTGTATGCGAAAGTCTGTGCAACGTATTGTAGACGTTGCGTCGATGTTTCGGCACGATTGGACTATCCCCACTTGCAGATACTTCCTATAATAAAGTTTCATCACCTGTTCCAATCTGTCTGATACTCAGTTTTGGGGTTATTGAGAATAACTCGTGCTGAAGGTCGGTGTCTTCTTTTTGAAGCTGTGAGAGTTTAAGAAGGTCGATTCTTTGAAAATTGTTCAAGGGAGTTACGCGAGACAAAGTGTCTTCAGATTCATTGTTTGCCTCAGAAATATGTTGTATATCTGAAGCAAACTGCGAAATGTAGTCCAGTTGTCGAGACTGTCGAGGGAAGTACTTGTCTGGTGATGAGCTTAAAGAGGTGAGAGGTTCATGATCAATAAAAAGAGTGAATTCTTTACCTCCAACAGAGTGTTAAAGGTGCAGTACAGCACAATACATGACCTGGAGTTCTCTTCCGAAAACGCTGTGCCTCGATTCGGTGTCTACCAGTCGTCTCGAGAGGAATCCCAAGGATTGCCAGGTGTGGTTAACCCATTATTGTAAGACTCCTCCGATTGCCGAGTCGGATGCATCTACTGCGATATCAATGGGCGCCTTGGTGTCCCGGTGTGTGAGCAATGTTGCTTTGGCGGTAAGTTCCTTAACTGTGGACAATGCATTTTTCTCGTTGTTGTCCAAATTCATGGATTTCGCACATCAACGAGGTTGGAAGATTTAAGGTCTCATAAGTGACGCGCAATACGGCAGGAACCGTCCATAGAAACTTACTAGGTCGTTAAAGGTGCGTAGTTGCTCGATTGTCGTGGGTTCTTGGTAATCCTGAGTGATGACGACTTTACGTTTTAGAGGTCGGATGCGTTGAGCATCAATGATAAGTCCGAGAAAATCTAGAGAGTCGGTTTCCATTTAGCATTTCCGAATGTTTGAAGTAATCCCGTGCCTTTGTTGTCGTTCAAATACATGGTCCTTGAGACAAAATTTTCCGTCCAGACTTGCAATCAAGCAGTTACCAACATACGCGTGTACGAAGTCGAGACCTCGAAAAACGTCGTCGGTGAATCTCTGGACTGTTTGTGGAGCGTTTTGTCAACCCAAATGCATGCGCGAAAATTCATGGAGGCTGAACGGTGTGATAATAGAGATTTTAGGAAGGTCGCCAGCAGCCATGGAACTTTGGTCATTCACTTCAAATGGATTTCCGAACAAGGTAGCTGTCAACTCGTGAATATGCAGCGACGGGTAACGATCAGGAATGGTTTTCGCGCTCAGTCAACGATAGTCACCAGTCGTTGATGTCCTTTTTAGAGGCCATATGCAAGGGAGGTGCACATGGTCTGTTTGATGGCCGAATGATTCATAAGTCTGTCGAATTCGTTTTTAGCCATTCTTAGCTTCCAGGGGCTAGTCGGTGCACTCTCGGGAGTACAAATGGTCCTATGTGATGTGTAGCATTGCTGGCTACACACGGCAATTTCGGTTGCGTTTGGTACATCTCGGGGTACATATCGAGTATTTCTGGATTGTATGGATCGATCGTGTGCTTAACTGTGACTGTGGATAGCCTACAGCCGGAAAAGGAATTATGCAAGCAGACAAATCAGTATTTCAGTCTATTGAACTCGTTTGCATGTGTCAGTGTGTAGATTATGATGTTGTAGAAGGTCTATACCGATGATTGGAAAAGAAACATCCGCAACAATGAAGATACAGTGGATGGATTTGCGTAAACCCACGTTAAGGTACAAATATCGCTAACCATATGTGGCTATCGGTTTCCCATTTGCCATATGTAATTTGAAAACTGCTTCGTGCAGTCATTCGTTAGGATTTTATTAAGAACTCCAACTTTTGCGCCAGTGTTGACAAGGTAGCGAACCTTCATAATTAATTCAGTGACGTACAACAGACGGCTATGTTCGCCGGCTACCGTTACCTTTAACAAGTGCAGGCCGGGAAGTTACATCAAGCGTTTTTTGCGTCGGTAGGTTTGGAGCTCGGGAAACTTCAGAGTTATCCGCAGTTTCGAGGAGACTTACCTTACTTATTATGATACCAGAACCATTCAAGGTTATCGGTCCCTCTTCTAATAGAAACAGATCGTTTTCGTGAAGTAATCACTCGAGTGTGGGAGCATATACGGTCATGATGAATATTAAGGTAACGTGTCTGAGCATGGCAGAGGTCTGTGGCGTCATTCCGTGCCGTCTGATGGATTTTTTGTCTGAATTGACTATGGCGCTAGGAGTTCTGGTGGTCTTCAGGATCAGGTTTGCAGATGCAGCCAGTTCGTCCGCAGCGTTGTTTAGTAAAGAGACAAGCACTGCCTACACCTGTTGAGGAAGCTTGGACAGGAAAGATTGTCTAAACTGGCCATCATCAGAAGCCCGTTGACCAATGATGTCTCTCTCATTCGTAACAAAATGTCTGTTACTAGGCCATGTTGTAGATCGATGCTATTGAGTTTACATAACCTTTGTCGATCGGTTAAATCTCCGTGCTTAAGAATAGACCATTTTAGAGTTTCATAAAGTTCCCAAACATAACGAATGAGTATACTACGTGTGACGTACTTGTTGAAATCGCGCGGTAATGCTCTCGCTGCTGCGAAAGGTTGTACATATAGGTCTGTCACTACATGTCGCGGAAGCTAGCTTCTGTATAACAGAACCATGAATATAAAGTATCGCAACGAACGAAGTAAAAAGTATCCAGAAACATGAAGAAGGTACCCCAATATGTAATAAATAACAATTAGGAAATTATATATGATGTTGCAACAAGGACATTGTTGTGGATACAGAATAGTAGACCAATAATTATCATGTTAAGTCCAATGGTGTCCTTGGACTTTAAATGTACATTCCCTATTGGCTATATTGTGTAAATGTTGTTTACTATTTTTATGGTACGATGTGGTTTGCTTGTTTGGTATATAAATAGAGCATGTCTGAAATACAATGATTCATATCTCCGAGGCTGTGACTTGTGTTCTGGACTCAACTGACTGGGTTAGACAGGGAAGCGAGACCGATAGAGACTCTAGGCCGTCCGTACGTGTTTACGTGTCATTGAATCGATCGATAAGTACGCTGCTCTCTAATTTTCCAGTCAAGGACACAACAATTAGCACAGGGTAAAAGTCGACCACAACTTAAATTCATAACAGACATAGACGTAAAGTTTACGAATAGATGCATCAGATCACGTCAGGCTCACCAATAAAGATGACACAAGTATTCGAAGTTCGACAAGTTTACCTGTTACACCCATACAATCGAAATATGCCAATCCAGTCAAATCAGAAGTTCGAAGACATATTTGGAGGGCTATCGGTACGTCGAGGAACTTTTGGTCTAAGCTGACTAATAACTGAAACGGATGCGCAACGCGACGTACTCATTCGTGATCTGGTACGGATGCGTGATCGAGCCCCATCATCTTGAGTCTGTCCAGTTAAACTAACGCGGTCAGCATAAAAGGTTGAAGACTTACGGAGCTATTGATTTTGGGGATTTATTTACCGCTTCACACACAAAGTCAGTGGGATTTGGACTTTGAACATGTTTTATGTGCATTGGGACTTATGCGAGTACACCTCATATGGAACCGATTTTGCACCCATCACATTGCATTCTGTCATCTACGGGGCAAAACAGTTTCACTGTCCCCATTTATAAGTACTTGTAGTGTGGCGTCGGGTCGGTCGCGATTGACAATGATCACCACTGCAGGAAGAGTACGTGCCAGTTAACCGATAAGATCCCCCGTAAGCCAAATATCAGAAGGCAGCTGATGGCTGTAGTCGAGATGTATTTGTTGGCGATCTCGTGGTATCGAAAGAATACCGAGAACAGGCTAGGTTACAAGTGTGGTCACTGGGCATAACCGAATTCATGCAAGGTCACATTCAATGGGAGAAAGTATGTGTTTTGTTACAGTTAAACAAGCAAGTACAGTGAAAACAATCCCTGGTACAACTGGTTATAATAATAATTGTTTCCATTATACCAATCTCGTTCTCTTGATAAAAGTGGGTCACTACATGCTGTTGACCATTGTGAATATATTGAAAGGGTAAAAATTCGACAAAAATGTACAATCTAATCGCTAGTGTCAGAACCAACTAAAAACAGGGCACTACAAGACGGGCCTGGAGAAAATTCTGAACGTCAACCGAAATAATTCAAGTTTAAAGTAGTCTAATTTCCCCTTTGATCTAATAAATGAACAAGAGCAAAGTTAATGCATAATAAGTAGTAAATTCGCGCTTTTTTGAAACGCGCACTAATATTTTACTGTTTAAAGGAGCTCTCTGTCTAACATCGTTAGTGTATTGGTTCAGTTTAATTAGTACTGAAAAACTAGCGAAAAATACATCAGAACATGTTAAAAGGATATCTCAAAGGTGTTGTAGACCTAGTGAAGTAATCTATGAAAATGTAGTCCTCATATTTATTCATTTTTAGCAATCTAACTGAACCAGCTGGTTCAGACGAAAATCTAACTTCCGGTGATACTCCGGAAGTTCTTGGGGAAGGATTTAAAGATCAGTAAGTGTCGATGTTATCATGCCAACTATTCAGGGATAACGGTAGTTCCAATAGACCACGAACACTTAATTCTGTGCCCAACTCACAGAGCGTTGACAATTCGGAATCAAGTAGTGTACTCAGTTGGATTGGAAATTTAATAGCAGCCAATGGTGAGGTGAGAACCCTTTTAACTCTTTCTCATAAACGAATAAGCAACCTGCTAGTTTCTTGACTAGTTTTCGTAGTTTATTATTTATTTAAACACAAACATTGGTTCAAGGAGGCACCAAATAGATATGCGCCACATAAATCATTCGATTTGTGTGAAAGCTGGGATACTGCCCGGGTACCAAAACAGAAGCAGGAGTTTTCTTAGATTTAAGCTTGTTTGTATTTCAGCAGTAGTTTTGGAAAGCTTTAGATTTTTTTTTCAGTAGAATTAACGGAATGATTATCCCTCGGATTCTGATTTTTGAAAAAACACTAAAGTTCTCATCATTTTGGGATGATGGGTCAAGTACTTAACCTTTGCAACAAAATTCAGTAGTACTTCAGACAGTTTTTAGTGAACCAGGCTGAAGTCTGGTAATCTGGATAAACTGGTCAAGGAGGTTACACTTACAACTTCTGATAAAAAGTCTGCCAAGCTCATATTTAAGGCAGAATACGAACGATTCTAGATCCCGTTATTAAAAAAGTGGACGAGTTCCCCATTAACCTTCATGCAGAGTAACGTAAGATACCTGCCAGAACTTATCATAATATTGTCAACATAAATTCGTCGGATAATATTGATTGTAAGTCGTAATATGTATCCCACTTGGCTGCTTGGTGTGTGTTTATAATAGTGTCTATAAAGGAACAAAAATAACGAAGAAACCTTAGTAAGCTTTGTTTTACGTATTTCACAGTTGCATGTTAAAGTAAATTCATGTTATCGCAAAGCAGTCTTCTTAAAAAACTTTTTACCATTCTAAGTAAGTAATATCATACTGATCCAAGTGTGCTCCGTTTAGTTTTGTATATTACAACACGGGCATGTTCCAGTCTTTGTAATCTGACATTAAAGTGCGAAGTTCGAATCAGTCATCTAGATAGTGTTTCTCCGTGCTCAGACACCTAGCCGTCACCCACTTATGCTACATTATCCTGGAAACATATCTGGTTGAGATTACCAAGTTAATATAAATGAAATTCCACTACGACTGATTCGCAATACGTGGGACCGTAGGCAGATGTAAACATTATTTTTCTCTCTCCAAATTCTTACTCTACATGAGTATTTCAGTTCAACAGTACAAACGACCGTTATTAAAAACCGCTTTACGGAGTGCTATGCTCACACGATTGAAGCAGATTATCTATGTCACACTCCCTATGTGGGCACAAGGTAAATACTTTGAGTCAATAATCAACTTTTTGTAGTTTGTCACCGGGATGTTGAATACGAGTGTATAAAGTTTTCAGAAACCCAGATAAAGCTTTTCTTTGTTTGATCTATGTTAAAATGCAAAATCTGAATGGAACAAGTCCAAGTCCCATACACGTTACTAGAATAGCTGAATGAGGTTTAAAACTACATGAATGTTTCTGGAAAGTATCCGTTTAGTAACTCTAAACGATATAAGTGAACGGAAACTCAATGGTCAACTACAAAATAGAGTTGGCAAAAAACTACGTAAATTTATTGGAAGATTTATTAAATGAATTGCATTTTAGTTAGTGTTAGATCTCAAAAAAGCCACGTGATTGCTTCTTAACCCTGGTCTTTCATATTATCGTAATTGTTTTATGGACTTTGACGCTGCTGAAATATTAAATTCACAAAGCATCCAAACCTTTGGTTTAAAAGTTTCGGGAGTTTCTCCCTCGTAATATTTAATGGTGTTGTGTTGAGCTATGTATTTAGGCACTAGATTGTGAAATCGCAATTATCGTAACCAGTGGTTGAAAATACAAGAGGACATGATCGAGAATCGGCACAATGGCCCAGAAACAGTCATTTCCCTTAGGTATCAAGTCTCATTTTTGTCATAGAATCACAGTGTTTATGTCTAGTCTTTTCCACTACCGCTGAAGCTGTTACTGTTTCTCCTATAGCATTTGCTTTGATAATTTCATCTCTGTGTTGAAATGGTGTGACAGTTTAGATCGATGCACATATGTGCCATATTCTACTTATGACTGACCTATATTTAGTAGTCAAAGAAGGTTGCTTTTGGATGCTGTTGTTCAGTTAAAAAGTCGGGATTTGACAGTTCAAGGAAAATTGATGGTACTTAATTATTTAGTTGAATAGTTTAGTCTACAATCTCTCTCCCTTTTGTGGGAAACCTCCACATAAAGAGAGTAAGTGAATGTTTCCTGTTTACAACTACAAATCAGGTAAACAAGTGTTTAAAATGGTGATTCATAAGTACCCTAGGTTAACGACTATACAGCTCATGTTTTTGGTTCGTTATTTTCTAGTGTTGTATTTTCCCGGTGTTATTAACATTCCATTTTGTCGACTCAGCATGTGGTGTTTAGTAAGCTTGACAGTTCTGATTGTCATTTGATTTGTTTGGGCTAGGGTACTACTTGGATGCTCAAACCGAAGCAGGCGGTTTTCTTAAAGGACCTCTCCCGAAGCCTTTAACCTGTAGGTCTAGTCCACAATCAAGTGGGGCAACGTTAGGGGATGTGGTCCCATGGTAGCTGGTGACCAAGAATAGGTTAATAACTCATTTCTCCCCTCAGGATCTTGGAGCCCATATGCACTATGGTTTGGAGTCAGGGTTTTCCAAATCCCCTAGGTGGATCATCCGAACCCACCAACCAGGTTTAAGCGTCGGGTATCCGCTTTTCGTCCTCTCGATTTCGTAAACAACACCTCCACGGCGAGAAGGCAATGATTAAAACTTCCCTGACAGCGGCTATATACGTGTACATGCCGTGCCAGGGTATTTGGGGGCTGGCTTCTGCTCTGGAAGTAGAACCTCGACCCCCTTGATGAGAGACAGGAATCCTAACCTGTACTCACTCCTGGTAGAAACCAGTTAGGAGTAGTCAAGGATTTCCATGTATCTAGATAGCTGTGTAAGTGCTGGTGGCTGCGCGAGTGATGAAATCAATTCACGTACAGTAAAAGCTAAGGTGGCCTATACTGATCTGGGCAGTTTTCGGCGCCTTCGTGATGTTAGTCTGGCTGTAAAAGGTCGGATCTACAACGCGTCGATGAGAGCAGTTTTGCTCTGCGCTTGTAAAACCTGGCCTCTCGGCGTCGAGGATGTTAGACGACCCTCAGTGTTTGATCATCATCGTCTACGACGGATTGTTGATATTCAGTGCCAACACCGTGTTAGTGGTGCGGAGGTTCGCCAACGTATGTTTGTGGACAGCGACGATAATTCAGTTGGTGTCACTATCTCGAAACATTGACTTAAACATGTTGGCTTGGACATGTCCTACGAATGTCGTCCCAGAGAATTCCATGTCGTGCATTGCTTGCCAACGCTGAGATTGGTTGGGAAAGGCAGAGACGTGATCAGTGCATGACATGGTGCCGTGGTGTGATGAAAAGCTATACAGGACTGGTTTCCATTGACCTTTCAAGACTTCCTGTTTGGGGTCCTAGAGATGGTGCAACACAGTGGCTTGAGACGTTATCAGAAATGTCTCTGAATAGAAGCCAGTGTTGGTCCAGCTGTAAATTTCTTTACTTTGTCCATATGAATGAGATGAACTTGTTTAACTGGGAGAATCCATTCTGGTTGTATTTTGCTTAACTGAACTACTCCCATCGTTATTATTACTATTATTATTTCCACTCACATAATCATTCTTTTGTTTCTTATTATGCATACCTTCCTCTATCTCTTCACAATTTTATTTTTACTGTGTGTCGCATATGTATTTTGGTGTTCCTTTGTACCAATATTTATGTGTTTAAATAAAAGTTTGATAACTGAAACTGGTATACTTCCGGCTTTTGCAATTTCTATGTTGGTCTGAGGGATACTTTTGGTAAAAATAGTTTCTTATTAGAATTTGAAGTATGTGGTTATCTGGTATTAGGTTAAGTAAATCGTTTTCTGTTTCTAATGAGAATGATTTATCTTTGTTGTGTAATCCAACCACTTTTCAATTTGTCTATTTCTAGAACTGTTAAATAATGAATATATGGTTTTATCCTGTCTTTTTTTACGCATTTTAGAACTCCATGTTGTTCTATGTGGACTCTCTTGCATCTATGGGGATGTAAGTTATATTTTTACCTAGTATTTCCTTTCACACTAGAAATCCAAATGATGATAATGAAAAACAAGCTGACCAGGAATCTGAAAAATCATTAGTTATAACCGAAGATATTTCGAAAATTGAAGTGTATGTTGGACTATTTCATACTTATTCCAACCTAATTCTATTTCATTAAGACCTGAAGTGTCTAAATCACAAGAAGATAACAAATTGATAACGCATAATATAAATTGTGATTGGACAGATAAATTTTCAGTCAAAACTTCACATGTAAGTTTATAAAAATCAGAGATATATGGTAAAGTTATCAATAATACTCATTTTTGTGTACAAACATACACGTTTATTCCTTCCTGAAATATTTCTCATTTGACCACCCTTAATTTGTGAATATTAATTCTGTATTACAAATATTGCAATTATAAGCTCAAAAGTTTTGTGAAATCGACTACAGTCCACACCAGTATACGGTCATTATCCGGTTGATATAAGTCGACCAGCAATATTAACAGGTTTCTTAGTTGTACAGACATGATAGATAAACTAACAGAACTTTTGTGGTTGAGTTTACGATGAGTAGTATGAGCGTATGTCAATTCAAAGAAATGTAATTTCTAACCAGAAGACGTCAATTCCAAGTACAGCATTTATGACAGGGAATTCATATTGATAATCATGAATCAAGTAAACACACAGTTAAGATTAGCAAATTACAATGTTTATGTGTGATTATATATGGAGGCGGTGTAACTGTAACGTTATATGGATTGTGGAATGGTGGATTCCACATCGTTTACCACAGAGGGTAAATATAGTAGCGTAGACCGTAAAACATACACTTTTGTTTCTGCGTGCATTGAATTTTTTTGAAAAGAATTTCACCAACAATAACTATATGCCTACTTATCCATAATCGGTACCAGTTAAAATAGTGACGAATACCAGTGATGTTATTGAAGATGATTAAAAAATGCCATTGGTTTTAAAATGTAGATTTTTTTCTCCGAGAAATAGTTAATTTCTCAGTACTTCTCAAATAAATCCAACCGTACAGCGAGCACTGTCTGTAATTTATTAACTCCATACCTAACATTCAAAAGACCCTGACCTTCTGCAAATGCTGTTGGAAAACCCTTTTACTTGAGCTATGAATATTTCTCAATTTTCCAGAGGCATCAGTTACTGTCATCTTAATTTTATTGTGTGGGTGGTAGATTTGCTTTTTCTATCATAGTCGTTTTCTCAGCTAGAAATATTTTTAAGAGGTAGCATCAGTGTGCTGACATTTTCACCCTCCACCCCTCATATACGGTTATTGATGAACCCAATTACTCAAATTGCTTAGTTCTATGGATTACTTTTTCCAACCGAAGCTCGTGACGGTCGAAGATGGATGACATGGCGCAAAATTAGTCTCAGTAACTCATAAACACTCTGTTTTTTTATCTTCCTTTAAATTTTAGAATGTGTCACTTCCGATTTCCATCCATCGATTGCAATTGTTCTTTTTGAACTGTACTTCCTATGTATGGATTTCCATCCATATATCTATAGCAAATACAAACTTTAAACATAAAGAATGATATTGTCCAACATAGTGTCCCCTGAAATCGGCTTAACGGTAGATATAAATAGACCATATTGCCATCAGTCATTGTGGGAGAGTCTCAATAAAAGAATGCCGCTTATTCTAGAACATATGCTCAGACTTTGACCATTTTTTGGTGCCTGAGTCTTACTGGATGTAGGAAAGCCACATCCTAACGATGAAAAAGTCGAAAATATATTTCAGGAACAACTAGAGAAGTAGTTAATTAATCATGAAAGTGATGTCCACCGTGGGATAGCTTAGCGTGATATACAAATAGCAATAAAAACAGCAGTGCGATTTATCAGTAACCTAAACCAAAAGGTTAAGTAATATCACTGGATTTTTGTAGCATCGATAGATGCTCTGAAACTCATCCCATCGGGCTCTGAACACTATAGAGTGAAGGAAAATTAAAAATAGGCTAACAAAAGCCCGCAAAATGATCGTGAGCAGTGGTGGCCAGCAAAACCAAGAAATGGAAAAGGCAACATCAATAGGTAACCGTGGATGAATAATTAGGCTCATCAAGGAAATGGATATTAAAATCCCTCTGTTATTAAGACGATCTCGGAAAATGGAGGACTGTTATTTATTCTCGGTCCAGGAGATTCGATCGATGGATGAAACATTTTAGGGAATAGTTCAACTGACTTCCAACCAAATATTCAATATACAAACATGCCCCCAAAAGCCCTGGTATGGCCGAGAGTGGGGAGAGTCCGCTCTCCCTCTCGAAATGCTCTTACATGACCACGCGTATATAGCCTCTGCCAGGGAAGTCCTACTCATTGCCCTCTCGTGGTGGGGGTGTTGTTTACGAAAATGAGAGGACGAAAAGCGAATGTCCGGCGCTTTAACCGGATCACAAACCAATGGTGCACATGGACTCCAGTATCCTAAGGAAACAAATGGCGTATGAACCAATTGTTGGTCACCGGCTACCAACTGCATCTCCTTACGATGCTCCACTGCCTTGTCGATCAGACCTTCAGGTCGAAAGCTCGGGGAGTGGCCCCCTAAGGAAACCACGTGCTTCGGTTTGGGCATCTGGGCAGTATCACACCCCTCACACATATCGAATGAGATTTGTGTGGCGCATATGTATTTGGTGTTCCTTTGTACCAATATCTGTGTTAAAATAAATAAATAAAATACAAACATACTTACCAACCTACAAATCAAATGACTTGTGTGGCGCATATGTATTCGGTGCCCCTTTCTACCAATACTTATGTGTTCAAATAAATAAAATAAAGCCCCGACTATAGTTGTATACTTTAACCTTAAGTTGGCGTTCATTTCCATTGACTGAGAGGTTCTATGGCAGTCCAACCTTGTACAGACTTCCCACCCAAACAATACTGGTCGAATCAGAGCTTCTTGACTGTCATCAGTATTGCCAACCTCGAGTAGTGATCGTCAGTGTTATTCACTTTTCTCCACTTCTACTCAACTTTGTCATAGACGTCATTTCGGAGATAATGCTCTCACCGTCTGACTTTTCAGGGGTTTGTCTTCCACTAGAGGACTCAATTGTTGATCTAGAAAACGCAAATGTTATATCTGTTTGGTAGGGACGCTGAAAAACTCAGCCTTCTAATCTCCTTAAGAAACGAAGCAAGCATGTTGGGGATGTGTTCTATGTACAAATGCAAAACGTTGTTTCAGAACTGGTCTATGTCAACGCCTTGATCAATGATGAGGAGCGAATTAGTTGAGCCTGTCGATCATTTCACTTATCTAGGATGTCTCAACAGCTCTGGTAAGTTGGTGTCTGGAAAAATCTCGGTGTGGATTCAGAAAGTGTGGCTGGTTTTTGTCAACTGGTGTCACTTGTGGCGTAGGTGAGATACCCGTCTACCAGCCAAAGGACGAGCTTGCTGCTCAGCAATTCGATCTGTTCTACTTTATTGATGTGAAGCATAACTATTAAAAATAAAGGGTACTCATAGGTTCATAGTGTTCAATCTTGGATACCTTTGAAGCACTCCTTGTGTATTTTGGGACATCGGGTACTAAGTAATGATGACAAGTTGAATAATCAGTCCGTAAATCTTCATTAGCTGGGGAGTAGTTAGGACATGTATTACTCATCGAAGCCCGTCGGTCTACTCCGGGTGACCGTGAGTTTGACCACAAACGAAGGATGTTACGTAAGGAAATTGGGCAAAGCTTGCGTAAGGACCGAGAAGCCTGGTGATCGGTGCGTGCTAATGAGTTGGAAGCAGCAGCTGCATCTGGTAATTACCGGAAGCTCTTCCAACTCATCCGAGCCACTGGCAGCAAGAAGTCTGGTGTGAGCGAAACAATCTGTGAGGATGACGGGATGCCAATCACTAACATCCATCGACGTCTTGGACGATGGGCAGAATTCTTCGAAGGGCAGTTCAACTGGCCTGCTGCTCCGGCAACATCGGTCAGACTGTCCTGCCCTCCATGGCCGGTGACGACTGATCCACCAAATGAGGCGGAAGTCCGCAAGGAACTCCAACTCTTGAAGCGTTACAAATCACCTGGCCCAGATGACTTACCTCCGGCTCTTTTTAAAGATGGTGGTGACTTTCTGACTAAGGAACTGACGACGTTGTTTACAAAGGTTTGGGAACTAGGGAGTGTACCAACGTCATGGAATGAGTCGATAGTTGTCCCTATCTTTAAAAAGGGTTCACGTCGTCCCTGTAACAACTATCGGGGGATAAGTCTACTTCCGATTGCGTCCAAGCTATTGGCTTCCGTCATACTTCGTAGGTTGTTCAAAACCCGAGAAAGATTGACTCGCGAGGAGCAGGCTGGTTTTCGTTCTGGTCGAGGATGTATTGATCATATCTTCACCCTCCGCCAAATGTTAGAACACAGCCATGCTTATCAAAGGCCAACAATCGTAGTGTTTCTTGAAATCAGGGCTGCCTTCGATTCGTTGGATAGGACTGTTCTCTGGGATTGTCTATTGAAGAAGGGTGTGCCTGAGAAGTTTATTAACATCCTAAAAGCCCTATGTACAAACACCTCAGGCAGAGTGAGGGCATACAACCACCTCTCTCCATTGTTCCATTCGAGCAGTGGGGTTAGGCAGGGTTGCCCAATCTCACCATTCCTCTTCAACTTTGCCATCGATGACATTCTGGAAACAGTTCTGATGGATGTAAGTAATGGCGGCGTGGATCTGTTGCTTGGAGAAAGACTTCTCGACCTTGAGTATGCGGATGATATTGTCTTACTGTGCGATAATGCCCAAGGCATGCAATCCGCACTTAATCAGTTGGCAATCAGTGTTCGTAGGTATGGTATGTGCTTTGCACCTTCGAAGTGTAAAGTACTTCTACAAGACTGGAAGGATTCTAATCCTGTACTCATCCTGGATGGTGAGCAGATAGAAGTAGTCGAGAAGTTCGTGTATCTGGGTAGGTGCATAAGTGCAAGCGACAATTCAAAGATATGCAAGCGATGTTTTTGATTTACGAGTTTCACGTTTTACTAAACCAATTTATGATTGTGCATTAAACAATAAATTGGTTATCCCTATCTGATTATTCGATCATCACACAGCCACTGAAATCTAGGCCATAGAACAATGTCTGTGCTCACAAAATAGATTGTGGCCAAATTTTTATGGTCGCTCACTCCCAGAACCGTAGTTTCAGCTGAGCGTCCACTCTCCTTTTCAAAACCCTTTCATACGATCATACGTTTATAGCCTTTTTCTGAGAAGTTCTGCTCATTGCTTTCGCGTAGTATTATCCTCACGTAAAAATTACTATGGGATTGGGTTTGGTAGATATGAAGGGTGCAAAGTAGGCAGACACTGATTTCTAACCGGTGGTATAAATGTGGTAAAAAATCCTGAGGAGACAAATACCACATAAACTTTCTCTGATCACCATGAAATTGAGTCCCCTAACACTACTCCACTTCCTTGCGAACTAGACCTTTATATCAAGAGCTCGAGTGAGGGTGTTTCCATAACAGACTGCCAGCCTTCTCAACACTCGAGGAATAATCATAGCTATCATCTCGCGGTCCCCAACCAGGTAGTCTACACCTACCAACATGACTCAGTCCACTTGTCAGTGACTTCATGGACTTGTGCCATGTTTTGGTCTGGCCGCCCCTAGCTTTCTTCCAACCTACTCCTATACCACTGAACATAGCACGTCGAGGCAGTCGGTCGTTGGGCATACGTAACACGTGTCCCAGCCATCTCAACTGATGAAGTTTCACTACGTCATCAATTGATTTGCCATCCTTACCTAGTACCCGTTTCCTAACAACTGCATTACTTACTCGATGGTCCCATGATATACGAGCAATATTTCGAAGACACCTATGATCAAATACTAGTAACCTACGAATATCCTCTACTCTTACCGGCCATGTTTCACTGCCATAAAGTAGGACGGAACGAACTGCTGCGCAGTAAACCCGTCCTTTGGTTGATAGACGGATATCTCGCCTACGCCATAAATGACGCAAGTTGGCAAAAGCTAGTCGAGCCTTCTGTATCCGTGCTGAGATTTCGTCACACACCAGACCACAAGGGCTGATGAGACTTCCAAGATAAGTGAAGCGATCGACACGCTCAACTACTTCACTCCCTATCATTAGTTCGGGTGTCGATGCAACCCAATCCTGAAGCAACATTTTGCATTTCGAGGGAAGAATCGCATCCCGAACATGCTTGCATTGTTGCTTAGAGTGGTCAGAAGACTCTGCATTTTGTCAGCGTCTTCACCAAATAAAACTATGTCATCAGCATATTCTAAGTCAACAAGTGAACCTCCCGGTAGAAGTTCAACCCCTGTAAATTTAGATGAGGAGAGTGTTATCTCTAAAAGTACGTCAATGACAAAGTTGAACAAGAATGGGGAGAGTGGACAGCCCTGACGAACACCACTTGAGGTAATCAATTCTGATGACAGTTCGCCATAAGCTCTCACTCTACCAGTTGTGTTCGAGTAGAGAGCCTTTATAAGGTTAATGTACTTCTTTGGTACTCCTTTCAGTGACAAACACTGCCATAGAACCTCACGATCAACAGAGTCGAATGCCGCCTTAAGGTCGAGAAATACTACCATTGTGGGGCGTCTGAATGTGTGTCTGTGTTCTAGAACCTGACGTAGTGTGAATATCTGATCTATACAACCACGTCCAGGTCGAAAACCAGCCTGGTTTTCTCTAGTCTGCTCTTCACGAGCTTTGATTAGGCGTCGAAGTATTATTGAAGCTAATATTTTAGACACTATATTAGTCAAACTGATTCCTCTGTGATTGTCACAAGAGGACTTTTGTCCTTTCTTATAGACTGGCACAATCAGTGATTGAGACCAGTCAGATGGGATTACGTCCAGTTCCCAAATTCTACCTAAGACCTCAGTTAATCTCATTGCTAATACTGGACCACCATCCTTAAAAATCTCAGGAGTAAACCTGTCAGGGCCTGCTGCTCTCCCTCGCTTCAGATTTCCTATGGCTTTTTCAACTTCGTAAAGAGACGGAGGACCTACATTAACTTGCCATTCAGGTTGACTGGAGATCGTGGGAAACCGAAGTGTGGCTGAAGGCCAGTTGAACTGATCCCTAAAGTGTTCTGCCCATCGATCCAATCTCCTGGATTGAGAATGAATAATATGTCCATCTTTCTCTGAGATTGTTTCGCTAACGGTCGGTTTCTTAATTCCGGTTTCCTTAACGAGTCTGAACAATTGTCTGCTATTACCTATTGCCGCTGCCTTTTCCATCTCTCTTGCTTTCGCTACCCACCACTGTTCGCGATCATTGCGTAGACTTCTTGTCAGCTTGCGCTTAAGCTGACTCCGCTCTTCATTATGTTCAGAGCCAGGTGGAATGAGTTTCCGAGCATCTATCAGTGAGATAGATGCTGCTGAGATCCAGTGTTGCTCCCTAACCTTCCGGTTTACCTTACTAGCAGATATCACTGCTGTTTCCACAGCTTTTCGGATATCATTCCATGCTGCCTCGGGGTGGGCATCACATACATGGCTGCCTAACTGTTTTCCTAGTTGTTCCTGAAATATACTCTTAGCTTGACTATCATTAAGTAGGGCCCTAAGAGGTTTCCTTGCAGCGTCTTTCCTACGTCCAGTAAGACGCAGACAAATACGCGCTCGCACTAGAGCATGATCTGAATCTAAGCATGTGCTCCAGAATGAGCGACAGTCTTCTATCGAGCCCCTCCATCGGTGGCTGATAGCGATGTGATCTATTTGGGTCCAACGTTGGGACGAATTAGGGGGTCGCCATGTTAAAAGATGTTTTTCCTTATGCTTAAAGTTAGTATTTGCAAGGAACAGGCGGTTATCTGAGCATAGCTGCAACAGACGGTCGCCATTATCTGTTCTTTGAGCCACGATCTATAAGATCCACCCAGGTGTCTTTCCCTATCGCTTAGTTTACCTACTTGAGCATTAAAGTCACCGGCCATTATTACTACATCCGAACGCCTAGCTTTTCGGAGAAGGTCGAGAGCTTTCTGTAAAACTCATCTTTTACATCATCTGAGCTGCAGTCAGTGGGAGAATAGGCAGAGACGACGAAGAGGCAACGACGAGTGTCCCTATCTTTTCGGATCCTTACTGTTCCGTTCAGTCGGACAGCGCACAAACGACTGTCTACTGGGATCCACTCTAAGAGAGCTAGTTCTGCCCTAGGACTCAATGCTATACCTACGCCGGCGAGGCCGCGGGAAGCAGAATATGGGCTTCCAGATACACGAAGTGTGAATCGAGTCGGTTCTTTATTTTGGCATGGTGAGGTCAAATAGATGACGCTACTCGGATCCTGTATGCGCGTTTCGGAGACGCAGCACACATCGATGGCGCGGGATTCTAAAGTCCTAGCTAAGGAAGCGTGTTGTCCTATTTGGCACAGTGTTCGGACGTTAAAAGCTCCTACGTGTAGTTTAGAGCGTGGTTTCAGGAGACCAGGAATAGCATTCCGCGTACTCGAATCGTTTGCCCTAGCGGTGCGGGATGATAAAGAGATGTGAGAAGGGTTAGTCATGGAGATAAGAGAGGTATTAGGAGGTGTAGGATGGATTTGAATGTGACCAACTTGTTCTCGTGTGCTGTTACGGGTATGAGGGCTGATTTTACTTCCCGGCTGCCTACACCGTGGAAGGGTACTTATTACTTATAAAATTCAGCTTTGTTTATCCAACATTTCAACATGTTCTTCAACACTAAGGCGTTGGTATATGAACGGAGGATGGTGGAAATAATGAATTCATACCACAATTGCCATTATTTCATTTGTGTTCGAGGGTTTCATATCGCCAACAAATCTGTACCTGGTAAATTAATTGAATAAATAAGATAATTGTTCTGTATGAATTTATTCGACCAACTCTGCAATAATAATTACGATGAAGTCACCGATCTCCTTATCTTTCCTTATATTGTTTTTATTTAAGGTTTGGAACAGATTAAAAAGGATTTTAATGAAGTTGTTCATTCTGTCTCTGAACCAAAAGATGTTGTATGTCGTACTGCTTTTTCAGTTCGTGATCGTATCACAGCTGCTGCAAATACAGTAAAGAACCTAAATCCTAATGAATTTCTTTTGCCGGATAATGAATCGGAAACTGATCAACAGTTTACAAAGAAGGGAAATATCGTTGATGATGGTAAAAATAGAGCTTTATATGATTATTTTGAAATTGATCTTTGTATGGTTGATTCTTGTAATAATTAATTGTAGTATTTTTAATATGTTGTAAAGAATATAACTGGTCCTAACGTACCAAACGATAGTTATTTCTGTGTACGCTGATTCTAAACTCCGTGTAGAGTTATAGAATGTTCAAGGTAAGATATTTATACTGAAGTACAAAGTTTAAGGGGTTATTTACTGGCTGATATGTTTCAATTTGCAATCAGCAGTTTGGACGTCATCGTACTTATATACACCTGTTACCCCTCGTGGAGAAGCATAGGCCGCCCACTAGCATTCTCCATCCAACTTTGTCCTGGACAATCCTTTTTAGTTCTTTCCAGTTGCTATTCATCTTTTGGGTGTCTGCTTCTAATCTTCGACTCAGTGTGTTCTTCGGTTTTCCTCTTTTCCGTTTCCCTTCAGGATTCCAAGTTGGGGCTTGCCTAGTGATGCATTTTGATGATTCCCTTCAATGTATGTCTTATCAACTTTTAGCGCCTTTTCCTAATTTTCTCTTCAGTTGTGAGCTGTTTTTTTCTACTTCCGCAATAGGCTATTGCTAATTCTATCTGACCAACGGACATTAAGTATCTTGCGTAGACAATTGTGTATAAAAACTTGTACTTTTTTATTGTCATCGTAATAATTATTAAATTGATATAAATAATTTTGTTACAACGAACTATTCTCAGTAGATTGATATTTTTCATCAAATTCCTGACTAGAGAATAATAGCATTTTTAGTAACAAGAGTGTAGAATATTAAGTTCTATATGGTCGGTCGATATTCAGTTGCAAACTGGAGTGATCTTGTTTTTCTCAAGTCACTTATTATGTATAGTTTAGTGCACTTGTCTTTGAGTCATACCTTAAAGAAAGAAGTCTGGCATTGTTAATTGGTTCTTCAAATTAAAGTAGGTAGAGCAGGGTTAGAACCCATTACCCACTAGCTAAAAGTTGAAAGCTTTGATCACACCCGCCTATGCAAGCTATTTTGTAAACAGCGTTCAAAACAAGACCAAAACAGTCTGAAATCGAGCAAAATTGTCTCTTCAAAACTCATGTTTGGAGCGGTGAAATTTCTACAATATTCAGTCGTTAATAAGTATTGAAATTAATGATGAACATTCACCTAACAAATAATGATATCGTACTTTTTGCTAGATTATATTTTTAGTCAAGTTATATTCACGGGAACTAAAATATACTTGTCATTTTTCTCAGTAAAACAATAATTATAGAATTACAAGTATAGGGGTTGTGGAGATTATTAAGTTTTTGATTGAGATCATGAACCGATTGATGTTAGACCACCTTTGGAAACCTGGAAGCACTGCTGAGGAGTCCCATACGAGGACGAAACGGCCATCCAGTGCTTCCAGGTTTCAAAAGGTGGTCTAACATCAATCGGTTCATGATCTCAATCAAAAAAATTATAGAATTATCTGATTGTATACTTGTGTATATACGGTTGACAAGAACTTATTAATAAGTTTCCAGTTACTGTATCAATATCCACTGTACTTCATCCTGGATATAAAAACAACTCACGGTCAAAGAAGATGAATTACACTTTCCACAAGACTGTAAAACTGACTATCTGATCAATATACAATAAATAAAATAGTGGTCACGATCACTTCTTTTTAAATAATAACATATGATAAAGTTGTTAATTACTGCGGAGATATATTAGTGGTAATAAATTATTTCTTTTACTTACAATTTCAACTGGATTACTACCATTCAATACAAATCACTTAGGTTATATTGATAAGTTGAAAAAGTATACCCGAGTAAACAAATAGAAATTTTTATTTAAAACCATCAAATACTTTCAAGACTAAATTATAATATAAATGAGTAAACTGTAAAGAATTTATTTGTCTTATCTCTGGATTATAATACAGTAAAAAATCGTAGATGTAAGATTTTGGGGAGTTAAATTTAGCTTGTCATACGCCGTCTAAAAATTCCAGAGTAGCAAGTTAAGAAAATCTTTCTTTAGGAAAACAGAGTCATAACTAAACACAAATGTCCTATTTTTCTTTATGCTTAATACTAATTGAATTACGGTCATATCTGAAAGCAAGAGATCAGAACAGTTCCAGTCCATGAATTCAGTAATCTCTAGTTTGTACTAACGCTCAAGTTGTGTTTGTAAAGACAGTTGGATTTAGTGATATACCTCTGAATGATCAAATGGGTCGAAACCGGTCTTAAACATTCTATAACCAATGCTAATTATTTTCTTAAATATTGACCCGCTTTCCTGCATATTCTAATGTCTTCTCATTCTTTTGGATTTTCTCTTCATGTTTTACTGTTGTTCTCAACGTTCGCGAAAGGCTCTGCAATGAGATATCTATCTGTTCATAGTTATACTTTGCTAATCAATAGTAACCATCTCTACGACATTAAAGTGTAGTAGAAAGTAGTTAAAGCAATCGTTTGTGAGTAAGTGACACTAATTTCATCTTCACAGATAAATGAGTCTTAAATATTTGTCTCGATTTTTAAGCTAGTTTTTTCACTCATCTATCTATCAATAAATATGGTGTCATGTGAGAATTTTCGTCTAAATTTGAAGGAATATTCTCACAGTATTTGGGCACCGAGTTGATGTAAGACATTAAGTAGAAAAAATGTATTTGTGAAATCTCAGCGAATGAATTTGAAGTAAATTCAACGTTTCGCTCGGAAATCTGATTCAAGATTTTTCAAGGAAATATAATGAAACAAAAGTGATCGAATATCATTACTACATATTTTTCCACTGTTCTATGTGTTAATTATTTTCATCTTTTCTTTTGTAGACTTAACAGCCTTACCACCGGCATTGCCTAGCTTCACGAATATTAAACAAGATGTATCCCAGTTGGTCGATTCTTTATATAATGGTATAATGTCGACTGGCACGTATTTCGGTTTAATAACTGGAGAAAATCAATGTAAAGATAAAAGTAAACACCAAGTATGTTGTTTTTATTTTGTTCAAAAACACAGTGTTGAGAGGATCTAGTTTATTATAGTTATTGTTATAACTATAATTGTTGTAGTTAAAACTCAGATGAATAGATTTTCGAATTAGTATTCACGGTTTTCGGAAATTGACCAACTTGTGTTCACCGTTTACACCACCCACTAATCTTAGTTAGATAACAATTGAAGCGAGATGATCCTCAAAGTTTAAGTTAGAAGCCATGACTAATGAAGTTCAGCCGTATCAGGTGTAAAACAGTCACTTACCAGTGGCATCGAAATATGGTCGCGCAGTACTGTGTATTGATTAGGGTTAGAAGCGTGAACCACCGGATGTCACCTCAATGGTCTAAAGTTTGGGCTCTTGATTTGATGCCTGAAGTTTCTGGGCTCGATATTTCTGGTAGGGTCCGGAATGCATACTGTCAGGAAGTCCTATACTGTGACAAAGCAGCTGTTTGATTTTTTCTGGTATTCAATGATTGTTTAGCTAATGTAAACTGCAGAAAAGCTTCAAATGCTTATCCTACCATAGCATGTCTATTAGTTTTACGGTCCAATAGTTTGCATACTAGACTATCAACGATTGAGTTACTAGTAAGTATTTACTTTGTTTGCAAATTGAAGAGTAGCAGCTTAAAACTTATGAATAGACTCAGTGTCTAGTTATGTGTCAACAAAATTAAAGTCACTTGTTGTTCACAAGTTTAATTCCAAATTTTTATAGTTTGTACTGTTCCAAAATTTGTCTGATCTTATGTAATTTTGATCCAGAATCGATAGTATGCTCTAAGTAATAAAATTGGATTGATCCCGTCATCATAATTTTTTTAACTAATTATTATCAATTGAGATGTTGGTAATTCATAAATTACCCAATAAATACATTAACTAAGTTCCTAGTAAATTTACCTCCTGAAAATTAGCGTACCCTATTCCTATCCCATTCGAAATGCTTCCTATTTGTAGCAATACACTGTTGGGATTGCTAAGACCCCAGAAGTATCTCATTTTCGCTCCAAAAGCCACCCACTTGGAAGGATCCTAAATGTCATTGGTTCGTTTCCTCTTTTATTACGCTATTTTGTGACGTTTTTCAATGGCATTTTTGCACTGTATGGATATGCATGAGTTGTGCGCTCGTTAATTTATGCTTCTGGCTACGCGTAAACTATGTTTTTTTACGGGCCGATTCTGGTCTTCTTCCTAGTTAGCAGAGCTGGGACTCAGTGGAATAGCTTAGCTTGTCCTGTTATTGTGTTGCTGACTTCGTTCCGTTTCGCTGTTTCTAGGTGATATCGTAATCTCTTCAAACGTAGCATACACTTACCCTGTCTCCATTTTTATTGTTCATGACTTCCTTAGACATTCAAAAAGTCAGACTTCAGCTTTCTCGTCGCTTCATTTTTTGTAGAACTATGTACATAGATGAGCTTAATAGACTTGTAAAAGCTGTTTTCTTAATTGCGTTATCTACGTAGTCCTATCAACACTACATAAACACTTCTGAGAATTTTTTCAAACTTTTGCCTTTGATCTTATAAGCTCAGTTCGTTCATTTATCATCAGACAAACGATATTTTATCCCTGTACAAACATCATAAGTACCACTAGGTTTATAATTCATTCTAGTGTTACCTATTTGTGTTTCAGTAATCACTCTCATCAACCCTTGTTCTCTGTTCGATTATTCTTGTTCTTTATCATTATTATTATTATCATCAGTATATATATATATATATATATATATATATATATATATATATATATATATATATATATATATATATATATATATAAGCCCAAAAGAGCCGAAGAGTTTCCACCCGATCAGAACCTGATGGAGCTTTCTAGAATATCAACGTGGCATGCTACGATTGGACGGTAGCATAACTTACCTCCTTGTAAATTGGCTGAATCATAATGATGTTATGACGAACATCAGTATCTATGAACACCATGATTTCCCGTACATTTCTGATTCTTACTGAACAATCACTTCTACTTTTGTCTTCTGATTTGAGACTGTGGGGTTCTATACGTTCGAGTGCCGTTATTTGTATATCGTATTCTGCGTTAATTAAGTAGTGAACGTAACAATCACTAATTTTGAAACCAAAAATTTAATTGACAAAAATAATATTTTTTTAATATCCTAATGAGTGGTAAAATTAGGTTTTAAATTTTCCGACGTCTCGTGACTTAATATAAGCCACTTCTTCAGAAAATAAAATTTAATGTGCTTTTATACATGCTACATACATTTGTTGTATTTCCTGACTAAAAAATTGGTAAACCATGTCCATTTTCCTGATTATTTGTAAGATGTTTGTGCATGATTTTCCTAGTAGTTTTAGATTCAGTTTTCGCATTACATTTTTCGTTAACTTTTCGTGGTGTCTAACTAGTTTTCTTTGCTTTTTTAATGTAAACGTGGATTATTGTATGACAATAAAAAATTTATATTCTAACGGAAATATTATGAAGAAATTCTGTTGTTTGAATATTATAAAAGCACTATTATCATGACACAAAACTGATATATACATTTTGTGGCTGATGGGGATATTTTAGTCAATCCTTCAAAATTCACTTGTACTAACAATCAACAGTAATTAACGATACATATTTAACAAACAAAATCAGGAATAGAACGTTTTAAAATTTATTTTGTCATATTAGATACTATTGTAATAAATAAAGATTTGGGTATGTTAATCTAATTTATTGTGTTGTGCATAATCACTGAGGTGTCCTACAATAGGACGAAACGACCGTGCAGTGCTTCCAGGTTTTCCATGGTGGTCTATCTTCAATCGACTCATGATCTCAACTATCAAAATAAAATGCTTTAAATTCACCATTTGCTTAACTTCCTTGAATTGTCTCTTAAAAACTTCGTTTTCCCGTTCGTGTTGCTACTCTGTCTTTTTTTTCTTTCTTGTGTCTACATTTTCCTCTTCTGTCAGTAAGAATCCGACTTCCAGTTCCTGTTCATATAAGTAGCACACACCGCTACAGTTGAGACATATTTATGAAAGCTATTTCTGATCCTATCTGTAGCTGTTGTTTTGGTTATGTAGTTAGACTTAAGCTATATTGTCTGGGATACTTGTTCAAGTTCGTCCCATACCAGGCAGTTTGGTTAGAGAACGATAAAATGAAAAAAAAAACGATGCTCTAGTTTCGAAAATGAAGTATTGGCGATTGTACCCTTGTATGATGATATCAAAGTGTTTCACGCAGGTAAAGAGAATCTCTAGTCATGCTGTTTTTCTGCAGTCATAAGGAGTAATTAAAATGTCGACTTTCAAAATACCAAACCCTTTCTTGCTCAGTATATTTCCAATGTCAAGTATAAGATTTGTAAAATGAGGGGCCAGCACAACAAAAATAATTTATTCAGAGGTTTTTTTAACCATTCTTGATCACTTATCCCTCCAACATTATGATCACCCCAATAAGTTTAGTATCCTACTGCATATAATTTAAAAATCGAAATATTCTCGTCCCATTTAAATTGAAATTCCATTCTTATAGAACATGTGCTACATTGTAATAATAACAGGGAGAATTCGGTAAGTGATTTATCAGTTTTAAGTATCAAATTTATGCACATAACTGACTTAGTAAATTCATTTCTTTAAGTTAACACAACCGATATTTTAAGCTTGGTTAAAACATCTTATTCTAAAATTTGGTTAATAATTCACATTTCAAAAATATATGTTAATTTTACACGTCATGTGAATGTACATTGTTGTACGTTTTTTTCAAAATCTTAATCAATGTGACCATTTCAAACACGTGTTTGTCTTTTATTATTAAATTTATTTGTGTAACTAATTAAATATATTTTTTGCTTCAGACTCGTCTTGATTTACTTCGAGCAGATCCTGCAACATATGAATTAGAACCACCGATGCCTCCAGCATCGTCTGGTATACATTCATATCATGATTGGAGATCAGCGTATTTTGATGAAGATAATTGTCAACCAATGAATGGTGTCCTGTTAGCAAATGCTAAAAGTCATGAATATAGTAATGTTCCAATTGAAGAACTTACACAAGCACCACATCCTAGTCCTGAAGAATTATTAGATTCATATCCTTTTATGCGAACATATTTAACTCAACTTGTTCATCCAGATGGTAAAATTAATGATAAATCTATGAGTGATGCCGATTTCTGGTCAAGGTATTACTATCGTGTATGGTTATTGGATTCAACTGAATTTCATAGAAGAAAACTTAATGAACGAGTTGAATTCGTCTCAACTGTCAAGCAAACAATACCGAATGAATCTACTCGGTATGCTAACGATACCAATGAAACCTGTAAAAATCTAAATGTTACTCAAGATGATGAATGGCCAGGTTAGCACTTCCATCTGTTTTCTTAAAATTTCAACTTTGGATGTTTCATGTACTTAGTACAGCAGATGAACAAGGTGACAAAATTATACTATACGTACGAAATTAAGTGACTGTAAAAAAAGCTTGCGAGATTTCACACAGTTATTAGCCAGTCAGAATGTCTGTAACATAAACAAACCATTTACCGTGAAAAACCAATAAGTTTAGGTTTGGGATAAATACTTGGTTTTTAATAAAGTATAAGCTATTTGTCATCTCGTTTTGAATTTGACGCAGAAGTCTAACAACCGTTGTCGTAAATTCATTTTGGTCTGTTGGTGGAGTATAGTTCCACCGTCACATATCTATTACTCTCATTAGAATGAATCTAGGATTGTGTAGTTCTACAAAAAATTTATCACTCATTCTTTTTAAGCTTGGAAGTTTTCCAGTTTTTTAAATTGATCATAGTTGGATCGTTCTACTATCATATGATCTGCTGTTGGAACGTTGTCGCAAAGTTGAATTCAAGACACAAACACAAATATTACTAAACAAAATAAAGAACATAAGAATGTTGTTTGGTTTACATAAATAAGCTGCGCATAACTTTACCAAAATAGTAAGATCTCTGCAAGTATCATGTCATATCTAGTTGTTATAAATCGTAATCTGGTGTAATAGTGATTGTATATTTTGTGCTCTTTTCTAAAACTGGATTTGATTATTTTCCGATGCTAAATATGTCTCACAGTTAGATTATTGAACAAGACAATATAGTTTTAGATTAACATTGAGGTTTTGTCGAGATTGCAGAATTTCGGAGTTGACATCACGAACTGATCCTATTTAGAGGATCATTGAAAACCGGCAAACGATAAACAACTGTTTCATTTAAGTATGGAACTGCTCAAGAGTCTACATTCACAACTGATAAATCTTCTAGTTGAACTCTTAAGTCGATTTCCTAAGCTCTTCTAGTAATTCCTAGACTAAACCTACACGATAACTTGAACACGATCGAAAAGGTGCGAAATATGGCAAGGACGCTTTACTCCAAAGTTAGTTTGTGTGCAGAAAATCTAGGGTGTTTATAATATCTCATATGACCTTGAGCTTCCGAAAAGTTGTGAAACCTTTCTAAACATAGAAGCAGGATCAGTAATCATCCAACCAGAAATCTGACACGCGGTTTTCCACTTTCTGGATCTTTCTGAGGAACTTCTTTTGAATGCTGGTTGGATAAGATGTTTCCCAGCGTTTTCGTTGTCCCTTTGAGCTTTATTCGAGGAATTTTTAGGATCACCCCAATGACGACTCGATTGGGGATCGAACTCATGACCTTCAGGTCTTGCAACGATTGCTTAGTTTTTAAACTATTTAAGAAGCAGCTGCTGGTTTGATTTTTTAACCTTGTTCAGTTCACAATACTGCTCAATCAATTTCCAATGTGATCGGTAAGTAACTGCTTCACACTTGACTTGGTTTCAATCCATTGGTCATGGCTTCTAACCAGAATTCCGGAAATCGCCTCTCGAAATTAGTCTACGGGACAAAATTGCTGTGTGGTGCTTTCTGGTTTTGTATGTGTTGTTCGACGAAGGTCAGTCCTCAATTTTAAACTACAAATAGAACACTAATCACCCTACAAACATTTTTTCAGTGTTCATAGATTTTTTTAAATTTCTGTACCTGACATTCACTAAGTGTTAAAAATAATTCAAAATAGTGTATTGAAATTTTTGTAATTATAATCAAGTATCGACTCCAGTGTTCTTTGGAGTTGTTAATATTATGTTCAAGGATAGGAAGTTAAGCACACCGTAATCATATGGTTTTCTTACTTATTAAACTTTTACAAGTTATTATCATCTGACCAGCTAATTGTCTTTAAATACTTATCACATTAATTCTATCTGACATACGCATATATATATATATATATATATATATATATATATATATATATATATATATATATATATATATATATATGATCCAGGTCATCATTAGTAAATTGTATCCAATTAGTATTATCTCGATTATTCATTGCTTGTCGTTCGAAGTTGAGTATATCTGAAATACGATACTGAGACACTCGTTCCCTTAATTCCTACCACATTGGTCAAGTCGATTGGAGTGTGGTCAGACTGAAAGCGTCAAAGTCATTGATCAGAAGACCAAATCATACTGTTAGCTACTGAAGTATAACCGACAAAATGCTTGGCTCAGACAAGCGTTCGCGGCACTTTACTTACTATAATGGAAAAACCGGTTTAGCAAAGGTGTGCTTTGAGAATAGAACATCTCACCTTGCTCCGCGGATATTCGCCGACGGCATCGAGGCCTTAAATTTTGGAGCTAGCACATCTGAAACTACTTACATAAATTCAGTGCGTAACCTGCCTCAGACACTTTCTTGGGCAGTGCAGTCACATAAGCAGATTATCAAGACCACCTTAAACCCCATTTCAGTTTTTGTTACCTCAAAAATCAGTACCCTTCCACGGTGTGGACGACCAGAGAGTTACCACCGCCTTCATTATTCCTAGCATCAATTAACCATTAGACCTAGGTGTTTTAAGTATCATACACTCGAAATACGTAGTGTATGATCTTGAAGTCGTTCCTTATTTAATACAAGTATTTTACACGTTAAAATTCGAATAGTCAAAAGCTATTTTCAATTATTGCTGATTAGTCGTAACCAGTACATTTTCATTTTGGTGCACTTTTTATCAATCGTTTGCACTTTGCTTAAATGAATAATCACTGAAAATTCACTGTTAACGATAATGATTTTAAAATTGTCATAACTAACGATTGGAAATAGCATGATTTGTATGATAAATCACTGAATAGACCACTGTAGATGACCAAACGGAAATCAAATTAAATTTCATGTGAATGACCTTAATCATGAAAAACTTTCACGTTAAGAATAGTCAGTTGGAATATGTTATGGCATTGCTTTTTTTAAAGAAGTGATATTTTTAAAAAAGCTGCTTCAGTACATTAATCTTTCCTAACGTTCATTCTTGAATCTATTGAGTTTATCTTTTTTTCAACATCAGTTCAGTACCAAGTCGATGATAGAATGGAACCTTTTTCACTAGGATTAACGAATGCTAAACTTATATTACCAAAAGAAGTAGGAGTAAATCTTTTGAAAGTCATAAATATTTCTACCTGAGGTTATCTGCAACATCTTCAATGTTCAACAAGCGTGTCGTGTGTCACTATCCTTTTTCGGCGATGTATTCGTATTTAGTTTGACGTAGTGATTGGGTGTTTCTAGTCAAATTACAGTGATTGTATCGCTTCATTTTTGAATTCTCACTACATCATACAAGGTTATTTTTAAAAAGGCGAAACAAAATGAGGCAAATTTCAGATCTAAGGAGAGTAGGCTAAAACCTTCACCATTTGTTTTGCCAATATCTAAAAGTTTAATTGCAATAACAAATGAATTCTAAGAAAGTCATTGTGATAGAATTCGAATACCTTTATTAGGCGAAAACGAATTGAATGTAGATTTATAAAATATGTATGTAATCACTGTGAACAATAATGACGGTCAACAAAAGCCAAGCATAGCGATGATAGATAACAGTAAAATAGTTGTTCAACATTACCGAAAAATGGTCTTGAGTTAAAAAAGCCAGCAACTTATCCGATTCGAATCATGTTATCTCATTACTAGGTAGTTCACATTGTCATCAAGTTTGGTGATGTGAAATAATATGTTGGTAGTTGTGGTCAAGCTTGTTCAGTATCTCATGTGTCGTAGGTGTATATACTCTGTGTCTTCCCTTAAACTATGAGATTAAAATTCCTTTATATCTTTCTTTCTACCAACTAATTCTTTCTGTACTATATCCTTATATACAATCTTTTATGTATTACCACCATTGAATTAACTACTACTACTTGTTGTGCTAATGAGGTATGGCAACTTAGATCGATGCATATATGTACCTATTTATTTATTTATTTATTTGAACACATGAATATTGGTACAAGAGAGCGCCAATATATATGCGCCACACAAAACAATGAGAATTCGAAGAGAAATAGAAAAAAAAGCTAAGGAGAGCAAAAAAAAGGAACAATAACGAAGAGATTGGTGTAAGGTAGTGTAGTAATAATCATAGTAATAATGAGGGAACGGAAAGGTACAATCAGAAATCTTTCAGGTAAGGGAGACACAACCACTTTTTATGAAGAAAGTAAAAGAAGGTTACAGCAGGATCGCCACTGGCTTCTATTCTGAGCCATATCTGATAACGTCTCTAGCCACTGTGTAGCACCATCTCTCGGACCCCAACCAGGGAGTCGTGAAGGACCAACACAAGCCAGTCCTTTGCAGCTTTCTTTCATACCACGACACCATGTCATGCACTGACCACCTCTCCGCTTCTTCCAACCAGTCCCAGAGTCGGCAAATAATGCACGACGTGGAATTCTCTGGGACGACATTCGGAGAACATGTCCAAGCCACCGAAGTCGGTGTTTCAAGATGGTGACACCAATTGAATTATCATCTCTGTGCCCGAACACACGATGCCGAACCTCTGCATTACTGACATGGTGTTGCCACTGAATGTCAGCAATCCTTCGGAGACAGCGATGATCGAACACAGAGAGTCGTCTAACGTCCTCAACTCGGAGAGGCCAGGTTTCACAAGCATAGAGCAAAACTGCTCTCACCGACGCGTTGTAGATCCGACCTTTTACAGCCAGACTAACATCACGAAGGCGCCAAAGGTGGCCCAGATTGGCATAAGCCGCTCTGGCTTTCACTATACGTGCATTGATCTCATCACTCACACCCCCACCAGCACTTATGCAGCTACCCAGATACACGAACTTCTCGACTACGTCTATCTGCTCACCATCCAGGGTGAGTACAGGATTAGAATCCTGCCAGTCTTGTAGAAGTACTTTGCACTTCGAAGGTGCAAAGCACATACCATACCTACGGACACTGATTGCCAACTGATTAAGTGCGGATTGCATGCCTTGGGCATTATCGCACAGTAAGACAATATCGTCCGCATACTCAAGGTCGAGAAGTCTTTCTCCAGGCAACAGATCCACACCACCATTACTTACATTCATCAGAGCTGTTTCCAGAATGTCATCGATGGCAAAGTTGAAGAGGAATGGTGAGATTGGGCAACCCTGCCTAACCCCACTGCTCGAATGGAACAATGGAGAGAGGTGGTTGTATGCCCTCACTCTGCCTGAGGTGTTTTATATAGGGCTTTTAGGATGTTAATAAACTTCTCAGGCACACCCTTCTTCAATAGACAATCCCAGAGAACAGTCCTGTCCAACGAATCGAAGGCAGCCCTGATGTCAAGAAACACTACGATTGTTGGCCTTTGATAAGTATGGCGGTGTTCTAACATTTGGCGGAGGGTGAAGATATGATCAATACATCCTCGACCAGAACGAAACCCAGCCTGCTCCTCGCGAGTCAATCTTTCTCGGGTTTTGAACAACCTACGAAGTATGACGGAAGCCAATAGCTTGGACGCAATCGGAAGTAGACTTATCCCCCGATAGTTGTTACAGGAACGACGTGAACCCTTTTTAAAGATAGGGACAACTATCGACTCATTCCATGACGTTGGTACACTCTCTAGTTCCCAAACCTTTGTAAACAACGTCGTCAATTCCTTAGTCAAAAAGTCACCACCATCTTTAAAAAGAGCCGGAGGTAAGTCATCTGGGCCAGGTGATTTGTAACGCTTCAAGAGTTGGAGTTCCTTGCGGACTTCCTCCTCATTTGGTGGATCAGTCGTCACCGGCCATGGAGGGCAGGACAGTCTGACCGATGTTGCCGGAGCAGCAGGCCAGTTGAACTGCCCTTCGAAAAATTCTGCCCATCGTCCAAGACGTCGATGGATGTTAGTGATTGGCATCCCATCATCCTCGCAGATTGTTTCACTCACACCAGACTTCTTGCTGCCAGTGGCTCGGATGAGTTGGAAGAGCTTCCGGTAGTTACCAGATGCAGCTGCTGCTTCCAGCTCATTAGCACGCATCGACCACCAGGCTTCTCGGTCCTTACGCAAGCTTTGCCCAATTTCCTTACGTAACATCCTTCGTTTATGGTCAAACTCACGGTCACCCGGAGTAGACCGACGGGCTTCAATGAGTTGTAAGGAACCAGAAGAAACCCAGTGCTTAAAAGCGGGACGTTTCGCAAACCCACAACTGACTGTTCCCGCCATTTTCATGGCGTCATGCAATTGCAACCAATGCTCATCTATACTTTTCGGTGGAGTGGTAGCTAGCCTAGAGGCTAGCTCGGTTCGATACTTACTTGCAACAGAAGTTGCAACCAGCTTGCTAACATCAATCCGTTGGTGGCGGTCACTTCGTTGTCCACTGAAAAGTAAGGTAAGATTGGCGCAGACCAAGGCATGGTCAGAGTCCAGATAGGTACTCCAAAAGGAGCGGCAGTCTTGTACACAACCACGCCAGCGGTAGCTGATCGCGATGTGATCAATCTGAGTCCAGGCTTGAGATGCAGAGGGAGGACGCCAGGTATCACACCGGCGTTGACTGTTGGTAAAGCTCATCCTTGATTTCATCCGGACTGCCATCTGTAGGAGCATAGGCGGAGATGAGGAAAAGACATCGTTTCTCACGCCGATTTCTTCTCACTTTGATGGAACGTTCTAATCTAGCAGCACATAACCGACTGTTAATGGGGATAAGGGCACGTAAAACAAGCTTTTTGAAGTGACGGATTTAAAGCGAATTTGTGGTACTTCACGAGAGTCTTGAATACGGGTCTCGGATAGACAACACACGTCGATATTAAGACTTTCCAAAGACATAGCCAGCCCTATCTGTTGTTTAACCTGCATAAGTGTGCGAAAGTTGAAGGCAGCCAGTTTGAATGGTGCACGTGGTTTCAGAAAAACTGCTTCAGTACTCATATTCAATGGTAACATACAATTTTCAACCGGACAGTGACTCGAGAACGTTTAGATACAGTCGAATTTCCACGAAAGACGAGACGCTGTATAAGTATAAAAGAGGGTGAATAATGTGGAAAATAATAATAATAATAATTTGATTGTTATTCGAAGCGAGAAAAGTAGTTTCCATAGACATAGAGAGTTCATCATTTGTGTGTGGGCTGTGATACTGCCCGGGTGCCCAAACCGAAGCAGGTGATTATCTCAGGGGGCCACTCCACGAGCCTTTGACCTAAAGGTCTAACCCACAAGGCAGCAGAGCATCGTAAGGAGATGCAATCCCATGGTAGCCGGTGACCAACAATTGGTTCATACGCCATTTGTTCCCTCAGGATACTGGAGCCCATGTGCACCATTGGTTTGTGATCCGGTTAAAGCGCCAGACATTCGCTTTTCGTCCTCTCATTTTCGTAAACAACATCTCCACCACGAGAGGGCAATGAGTAGGACTTCACTGGCAGAGGCTGTATACGCGCGGCCGTGTGAGAGTATTTCGAGAGGGAGAGCGGACTCTCCTCACTCTCGGCCGTACCAGGGCATTCGGGGGCCGACTGACTGACTGTGGTATTAATACGGAACCCTGAAGTTTTGATTTGATAATTTTGCTACCGACCCGCTTAAATTGTCTTCCTAGCTAGTTCTGATATCCCCAACTACTTCTGTACGTCAACTGAAATGCTACAGAAAAGGTGCGAAATACGAATAAACGCTTTACTCCAATGTTAGTTTATGTGCAGAAAAATGAGGGTGTTTACAGTGTCACGCCTGTCCTTAGACTTCCGGAACCATACTAAAAACAGTAGCAGTACAGGTAGATATCCAATCAGAACCGTGACACGTGGTTCTGCATTTACTGGATGTTTCTGTGTTTATTGTACTCAACGCTGATTGGATAAAAGGTCTTCTAGGTTTTCTGGGCCTCTAAGAACTTTGATGGAGGGATATTTTTGGGACTCTTCCAACATGATTACACTTCTCAAAGAAGTCATTTGTATTTAGTCAATGATCTTAAACTATGGTTTAAATTCGTTTCATTTTCTCTCATATCCATTAGATAGTGATGATCATACAACCGTGGAGAATGAATCAGAAATTTCAAATGATGAATTCATCACAAAATACTGTAATAATGATACTACTATTACTAGTACCAGAAGTGATTCGCAATGCAGTAGTAGATATTTCAATCAAAACAATAGTATTGAAAAGAAATCCGCCGTAATAGTGATAGTAGTAGTAGTAGTAATAATAATGATAATGAGAAATCAAATCACGAAAGCAAGTCTAAAAGAAAACATAGTTACAGAAAACCATTGAATAAAAGCAAACACTTGAGGAAGTTAAGTTGTAACAAGAAAGAAAACTTGTCGGATAGCCTTAAACCGGACAATATAAAAGTCGGATGTTCATCTACTCTACCGGTAAGCAGTCTCATTTGTATTGTTTTAAATATGGTGAGCATGTTAAAGTCCTAGAGTTGACAGCAATTAACGTTACAAGTTTGTAAACTATGTACATATGTATGCGCTAACTAATTCGTCATACTTGGAAGTGACAGACGTGATTGTTATGATCTTTGAGTTCTTTGAGAATTCACAGTCGTAACCAGAATGTAAAAGTATTTTGAGTTCTTAGATAATAACATCGGATCAAACGAAAATCTATGACGACTATATATACATATGCCGCTCGTAATCTGACCAAACTCTGGAAAATGTATTAGAACAATACAAAGTGTAGAATAATACCTCGAAGTAAAGAAAAATGCTCAAGGTAGCACTCAGCTTTATAAATCAAGCAATTTTATGACTGTTTAATATAAAATAAATTATATAAACCTTGCAGCTGTCTCCAATTATTTTTATTTTGTGCTTTTCATTTTTCAATCCCTTTTTTCGAATCATTAGCAAACTAAAGCTTGTCATATTCGACCATCTGTGCACAGTGAGATAAAAATTACCAAGACCAATTTCTAAGTAGCAGAAATAGTATCCGTATCAGTTTGTGAAACAACATAGTATAAGTATTTTAAAACTAAGGGTCTCCCTCCTTCTAGCCAAACAAGTTGGCGAAGCCTAGTGGGCCCTTCTGGAGAGAAACAGGCCACATCAAAGCACGGCACAACTATCAGGGCTAGAATAGTTGTTTCTGCAATCCTTTGGAGTTTGTCTAATGACGAGCAACTCCATATGATAGATGCACCACTTTCGAGAAACTTTGTCGTTTTCCATTCCAAATGTAGTTGTGCTATGTTTATCTGTGGAGTTCGTAATCAGTTGGTGGGTATAGGTAAGAGTGGGTGATTAGCCCGATCTCCACCACCCGGGTTACCGCTCACGTTAGTTCATGAGTCATTCGTCTCATTATCCAGGAGGCACGACGCGGACGTGTGAGTCGGATTTTGCCTAAAGGAAAACAATGAATGAGTGGATCTGAATCCTTGCGACCGATTCAGGGTTATGTCACTTAGCTTATCCAACTACTGGTTGTGATAGTCCTGCGGACCCTAACCATATAGTCTGCAGCTACCTACACTGCTCATTTCAACAGTTAGTGACTTCATGGACCGACGTCACATCTTGGTTTGGTCGCCCCCTAACTTTCTTACAACTTACTCCTGGATCAGTTAACATTCCACCTGGTTAGGCCTACGTAACAGATGTTCAAAATGCACCATTAGACAAAGATTCACAATCTCATCAGCTAATTTTTCATCTCTAACCAGCACCCTTTGTTTAGCCTTAGTATTGCTTACCCGACATTCACAATGCAATTCAAATAATAGTACCCTACCATTACTGTCCATTTTTAAAGACCATGCTTCACAAACATGCGAACTATGATTTCGAATCATATAGAAACTCTTTTGTAATTTATACTACTAGACTGTCGAAAGCTTATAAAATATATCAATTACTTTATCATTATAAATATCTTGTTATTAAAAGGTTTTATTCTCAATATAATTTCGTTGTCACGTACAATATATACATATATCATATCTGAAGATATGGATTTTTGTTTTAACAGTCATGTTGTTATTGTATATTCTAATCAATATATTCAAAGCGAGAAAAAAAGAAAGTGAAAATACTACATATATCCGTAAGGTGTGTATTTCAAAATGAATTAGAAATCGCGTGATATTCTTCTTTTCACAAGGTACATAGTGTTAGCACGTGATTGTTCAGTGATATTGAGATCACGAATCAACCTTAGTTAAGCAATCATTGAAAACCTGGAAGCACTAAACAGCTAAGTAATAAATTTGTTTATAAAAATTTACACTAAAAGTGCCTCCTTCACGTGGATTTGTCCATCATATCTGATTGCCTGAACTATGCGTGGATCATTCAGTATGTTGAGATTATTCTTATACAAAGCATTTGTTCAATTAGCAATATAACTTTACTTAGTTGGACCAATGTCAAATTCTTACAACCTAAGATCGTTACCTAAGCTGGCTCAGATTGAATGTCTTATTTGTTTGTCTTTTTAAGTCAATGGTAATATCAACATATTAGGCTTACTGATAAGAGGACTTTAAAACAACCGTGACTAATTTTAGCCAGCTATCGGTCAGTAAAAAAGCAGTTATTCTAAATCAGTACTTCATGAAAGCAAACCAGTCACATTACACAATACAAACATATCTTACATAGTGAATCCACTGAAATCTTCTATACCTTTTTTCTGTAAATTGAAAAACAATGACACCTAACACTGCTCTTATGGATATAAAAGATCCGTCATCTCGAACCATTGTAAGGCAAATAGATTCTTATAAGTCTGTTCTTGTTTAAAGATTTGGGGTTTTATATTTAGAATTAGGATCCAGGAGTGTTGCTGATTTGTGTTGTATATTCAATCTAGGTTTAGTATTTTACTCTATCATGGCTAATAAATAATTCTCCATGATCATTTTGAATGTCCCAAGCAATCTACAAAGGTATTTCTACTGTTCATATAATATAACGTGAATTGAACACCACTTGTTTTTAGATTTCACTTCAAAGTTATTTTCTCAATTCTTATTGGCTCGTTTCTATACTGTACTTTTAATGCCTTTTTCTACGTTTTTACTTTAAATTATTATAAAATCATTAATTCATTGTTTAAGATAATTTAGTTTAATGGAGTAGTAGGAATAATAACTTTAGGTTTAACAGCTGAATGGCAACCTGTTAAAACAATATATCGATCAGTTGTGCTGATCTTATTTCTGATTTGTGTTGATTGTCATGTAACTGGCAACAGTATTTAGGTAAAGTTAACGTTTTTAATTTCTGTATAAAAAAAAAATATTTTCTATGATTATATGTATATATTTGTCAGAACACATTTGGATTTCATTCTACTATTGTGATCATTTCTACTTAAGTGTAGGATTTTTACTTTATATGGTTTGATCTTATTAGTCAGTCTTAAGCAACATAGAAAATTTTCTGTTCTATTCTATGTGCATTAACTGATCACTGAGTAAGTCATCAATGTCATGTTTGCCTTATCCTTTAGTGCTGATCCTATTCCATTAATCAAGTAGCAGTGTGGTTACTAATATGTGTTTCGAGATCATGTGCACTATATTGAGTTGTTCTTAAATAGTTGACAAGATACCTTGGAACTTGGCTTCTTGCTTTATGTCACTCGTCAACAAGCAGTATCTAACATCTTGTGTGAACTAATACTCTCTATGGGGTTCAAACCCGCGTCACTTGGCTTCACAGTCTAAGTTGCCACTGAGTTATTTGGGGTACGAGCCAACTTATAAAAAGTGCACGACATCAGTAGTAAAACAAACACCAATAAAATTGGTTGTTGTTATTTTTGTAACTCATATTAGAAAATTTTTATCTAACGTATGCTTCTAGTGAAAGTAAAATATACTGGCTGCCTTGAATTAGCCCATCAGAGTTAGGATGGCGCCTCGTATTTTGCTCCAAGTTTGAAATGCAGTGATGAGTAACGCGTATGTTATTATTCACCAGGTGTAAATCGACAATACTTGATCCGTAAAGTGCTTGAAATCAATGTAATTATCTATTATCCAACCAAAAAGTGGATTTTAGATAGTACTTAGGCTAAATTGCATAACCTGCCTGCTCTTAAAGCATGTGTTGTTCACCGCGTAATCGAGAGTGTTGAATGAGGCTAGATAATCTCCTGCCTTCCTTACTCTCAATCTAAACCGCAACCCTAAGTTTCTGAAGTTTGTAAACAGGAAGGTGACAAGGCTTTAAACTATTACTGATGTCAGTTCTTGTTGCAAACCTAACTCAAAGCTGCAGTTTAACTCTTTATACCTAACCTTAACCGCACCGCATCATAACTGATGTCAGTGGGTGACTGAAACTTTACGATATAGTCCTAACTCAACGCTAGTCCAACACCGAATATGAACGTATATATGTAAAATTGACCTTTATTCTTTGATACGAGCGATAATTTAACTTGTGAAGATTAGCTATCACGATTAAAGCTGTTACTCCACTGTTATTTCATTACTTTATTTTGTTAACTGTTTTATAACTAGGCAGCGTTTCCCAAATGGCTAATTAGTCGCCAAAAGTTTTTCAGTATATTATGCCTTTACCACGTTTCCTTTAAAAGAGAATGCCATTTCAAATGGAACGTGTTGAAGTTTGTAATCCTGCTTTTTAATATTTTAGACAGAAGACCAAAATCCAACAAATGTCTTGTCAGATTTTGAAGAAATGACATCTGGTTTATCATCAGTTGTGATACTTGCAGATGAAGTGGAAAATGATGAAATGACAACTGCAAAAGCATTTACAACAGATAAATCAACCGTCCATTCTTCTGAAAGGTCTACTATTGAATATAAGGCATCAATTTCTGGTAATGTATCCTACTTTTGAAAATCATACTGTCTTTATTCATAGTTATATCTTAACAGGTTATTTTGTTCGTTCCATTTTTCGCAATTCTTCAACGCTTAGACTAGATTAACGAAGTTTAAGAACGACAGGTTGTTGCTCGATGGTTGATGTAGAAGTTGGTCTAAAGATATTAACGAGTGGCTGAACCAAACCAAGATTTTTAGGGTAGCTCAGTAATTAAGGTATTTGAATTTCAACCAATACGTAAATGGTTTGTGTTTTACTCTGTCCACTTTGGTTTAAACAGTCGAGGGTATAATCAGTATCCCTCATACTTAGAATGTAACTCAAAGCGAACTACACGAACTTGTACACTTGGTAAATGAGTCTTGGAAAAATTTTTCCATATATTTTGTCTGTAATATTTGTAATTTCAGATGATGAAGCTTGGAGTGATTCCGAAAATGAACGTAAAAATTACTCACTGGATAAAACCAATAAGAAGTCCACTGAAACTAACAATAATAAAGACGAGGCCGTCACAATTAAGAATTCTGAGCTACAATTAACTGATGAGGTTTGTAATTCCATTTCTTTCAAGCGAAAAAATTGTTTTACTCTGTTGGTTACTATGATTATTCTTAAAGATTGGATTCGTTCTTCTACAATTTTCTTTCGGGTTTGTGTGTCTAATTAGATTTGCCCTTTGGTTATATAACGTTATAGTATAATAGTGGAGCTGTAGTTTATTTAGTTTATGGAGATCATTAAGTTCATCGAAATTTACATCACAAACTGATGTTATTTAGACAACTGTTGAGAACTAAGTATTTCATATTAGTGTGAGAATCTTCAGTAGTGTGCATCCACGACTCCACTAGGAATCGAATTGAGGACCTTCAAGTGTCCCAACTGGTCTTTAACATTGTTAGAGGTATATAGATTGGATCAAAGCATGTTCCGTACAAGATTGTGTTGAGGACGCTAGTTGGCTATTTCTTAACCAATCGGCGCTAGCGGAGACTTGGGGAAGACTCTAGGATCTTATGTAAAAATTATAAATATACTAACGTTTGTCCTATTGTGATCCCTACTTCAATCTAACCATTTTTATTTGGAATATGATTACGTTCCTGTGCAGTCGTGTTCTGATTTGAGGACTTGTCGAGAAAAGTAGTGTCCAAGAATATCAAGCAATAGGAGTAGCTAGGTCGTAATAACAGAAATTATAACAAACATTTAGACCATTGGAGTGGTGTCTAGTGTTTTACATTTGTAACGCCAGTCTATTCGTTATATTACCCATCTTGTAATGTCATTGCTAAGTAACACTCGACATGACCGAAATCTGCTGGCCATGGCTTCTCACTAGAACTCCGGGAATAACTGCTCGAAGTTTGTCACTAATGCGTGTAAGGGACTAGGATAAAGCAGTTGTCAAGTGTTTTTTTCTTGGTTTCCAATGTTTGTCTAAGGTCATTTAGTGATTTTAACGACAATAAATCCTACAATCTCTGTAAACCTTACACTAACAGTACATTCATCGAACATTTCAATAATCGATTTAGTTTCGCCACTAATCGATTTGTTTATGTTAGTTATGATTCACATGATTTTTCAGTTAAACTGAATCCATAAGATAAACTACCCTGTCCTTAACTTTGTATTTAAAGCTTAGAACATTTTACCTTATTCCACTCATTATCACTAATTGTTCAATGAATCATACATATGTATATTGACAGTAATCTGCTGATCATAATTATTTTTATCTAAATTTAATTTTAGATTGATGATTGGGAGAATTGGTCATAAAAATATAATTAATCCCATAATGTTACATTGCTTGTTAGTTGCAGTGATTCATACTATTATTAACTAATTTTGTTGTTTCTTTTTATTGTAAACTGACATTAATCTGTGTGATAGATAACATCAATGACTATAGTAATTAATTAAAAAGCCAATAAAATAATGTGAAGAGTCCGTTCTTTATCACAAGAAAACTGACAACAAAATAGCCTAAAACGACCGATTATTTTTATGAAGCATGGGTACAACTCTGCAATAGATGATGATAATGATGTTTACGCTTACTATATTTGAGAAATCTTGTTTATTTTTTCAATTGTACTTTTCTATATCTAACCATATGAATGATGACTTTTTTTATTTCTCAAACTTGGTCGTCTGCCAAAAGTTATTGATTTTGAATTTATTTTATTATTTTAGTGGTTGTAGTAAATTGTCGCTTTATCGAGCTATTACACCATCATCATCATCATCATCATAGTACTTAGATGTCATGATTTTATCCTTTGAGAAATCTATTTCATCAATCAATTCTTTTTTTTCCAAAAATAAATTCTTTCTTACAAGCGATTGAAAATTATTACAAAGAACAATTGTTTGTTAGATAGAAGTGTGATTGGTCGGTTGATGCACTGTCAACTATATATATATATATATATATATATCACCTTGCACACTGTTGCACGTGGATGTAGCAATCATTTCTATTATATGAATAAAGTCAACAATATACAGACATTTACACTAATATTTTTCGACAGTAAAATTGTTCAGAAAGGAAAAATAGTTTAAAGGAATAAAATTGTGTTCTATTTGTATGGTTTTTTTTTTTAACGAGCATCATATATACGACCCCATAAAAAGAGATCAATTAATAATTTTATAAATAAATGCGATATTTAAAAGGGTAAATAAAAGTTACATAAAAAACAATCTACAGACTTATCACCAGTCGACAACAATATTTAGATTAAATTCTCTAATGAATCACTATAAAAATGATTAAAATCTAACCGTAACAATAACTGATTTAAATCTGTTTTGTCTGAATAAAGAGGACCATTGGTAGTAGCAGTAGTAATAATACCAGGTAACGATAATGATTCGAAGTCTCGACGATCATTAACAGCAGTATGGCCAGGATTGAAACCAACACTACTTTTAGCACCGGTTAAACAAGAAATATTTAATAAATCATACAATAATTTTGCTTGAGTATAAAATTTATTCACCATCTCGTGCACTTCATTAGACAATTGATGATTATGGTCATCATCCATATTCATTAAATGATCACTGTAGTATTGTTGATTTGATAAATCTACAAATTGACAGCAATAATTTAACAACTGTAATATACATAATTTTATATTTGGCATGAACAATAATGCTTGTGCTTGTAAACCAGCCAGGTAAGCTTCATGTGCGATTTGAATTAATCGGATTTCTTGATCACTATGTAAACGATGAATCAAGTGTGAGAATTGTGCTTCAATTACATCGACCTGTGAGGAAGAGAAAGAAATGAAGTGCGAATATTCTGGGAAAATAATGATAGTACCAGGGATTGTATGCCGATTCATCCGTAAGGCGTGTGGATAACCCAATTTAATATATTCAATCAAGTTTGCATTTATTTCTTTATTCATTTTATTAATTACGGGTTGTATGAGTGCAATGAGAACTATGACTCACAAATGTTAATAGTACTATTGACTGTGTAGTGATAGTGGATAACATTTAGTATTGGCAATATAATTTAAGAAAAAAAAACGATTAACTCGCAGTATAGGAAAGATAATATCAATTTCAAACTCAAAATCTAATGGAGAACAAAGAATGAATGCATTTAGCCTTTCTGAACGATTCTGATCCATTTAACCTAACTTCTCTAACCATTAACGATAATGGTTGCATCAATTCCAACCACATACTTTAGACCTAACACTATGGCTCAATCCAAGTCAAGAACATTTTAGATTGATGTCGTGCCTTGATTTGGTCACTCCTAGCTTTTATTTAACCTATTCCTACACCGAGAAAAATAAAATTACATACTGGACTAACAAGTGTATTTGAAAATGGAACTAGATAGATCAAATAATTAATACGCAACGATAATCCCCCACGCAATTGGAGAGAAATGAGGTATCTGAGCCGTCAAAATTTCAGTAGGAAAACTCTGCTTATACACCAATAACTATTACCTTGGGACACAGTTGCAAAGTAAATGAGGAAGCAACAAGTCGGATATAGTATCAAAGATTAGTGGGTTAATATGAATTGAAAAAATGTTACTGAGGACATGGCACACGAGGATATCATTTGCTAACAAAAATAAAAACACTGGGTAATTTGAACTTTTCCCACACCATAAAAGGTAAAACATTTTTTGGTAAATTCTGATCATAGGCTAGACCATACAACAAATTTTGGACTCTTATTTATGTACCTTATTGTATATATTTGACTAGTTTTACATTTGCTTGGTCACTTTATTGTATTAATCCTATGAGGCTTATATCTATTCAGATTACGCTTTCACAAATTGTTCTAGTTCAATTCATTAACATATTGCTTGATTTGACCAGGTAATCTGAATACAAATCAAATATTACTATACTTCTCTTGCTTCCAATATGCTTATACGATTTTGATCATTTTCAAAGTGTATGAATACGACTAACAGATAGAAGAGAGGTGACTTTTGTGAATAATCATAACACTAATAGGAAACAAATAATATTCGACCGGTATATTTTAAAATGACAATGAAGATCCCCTTTCCTAAATATGATAGCAAACCAACCTGTAAATAATACTGTAAACTCTCAATAATAAATGCCATATGACTACGAACTAGAAGGCGTCGACCTATACAGGATTGCAACTTAATAAAAACGTTGGTTGGTGGTGTTTGATCATAATTTACATTGGACTGATTACGAGCAGAGGTACGACGCCACAAAAGAATCTGATCAGCCCAAAACTGTTGTAACTTCAGTTGTGTTCGACGGATAGCGAATAGAAATCGAAATAAACTGTCGTAAGCACGACAAATATTAGGAGAGAATAAACGTTCGAACACCGGTGGAGCAATAATGCATAAGTGCAAACAATCCCAAACAGTAATATTTTCTGGCAGTTTACTTGATTGAGCTGCTGTCAACTTTATTGAAAATCTAGATAGAATTAAAAATTTAAGAAAACTAGACTTTAAATGTGGAACAAAACGAGTGGTTTTTCAAATTACTGATTGAAGAATCTAAATTTAGTATGATTTTAGAAAATGCACAGAAAAACAATTTTTGTACCCAGTAACTTTATGAAAAGTCCTAGGACTGATTGAACGTATCACTCGAAAGTAATGTCAACAGAAGTCATTTTATGGTATCGCTTATCTGGTGGGAAAGTTGAGCTAAACTGAATTCCGATAAAACTAGGGAAATGACTCCGACAAAACTTATGACGTAATGGTAGCTGTTCATAAAGACTGTGTTGACTTAATCGAGTATTTGAGAGCTGAGAAGACTCTGCAGATGGTCGAAAACAATGAATTTCGGCCCCCTCTGTAGATGGAAGCTTCGGACGTGTTTTATTTGAAATATTCAGATGATTGCGGTCGTTTGTACACACGATTCTCAAGCTACTGTCCACCTGAACAATGAACTTATCACAAGATAACCTAAAATGAACATCAATATTTTTCCTCCAATTGAAAATGAAGACGAATCTCCACCTTAGGTACAAGGTACAGCAGTAAATTTATTTGTGTCAATAGTCTCAATCTTAAAATATAAATCACATCAGCTTTGGGTGCCAGTCAGTGGGGGACGTGTGTTAATGGCGAAAGCATGTGGTTTTCAACTGGTAGGCTAGTTTTAAATTTTGTTCCACCTACTCCAGTTTGAACAACTAGATAGTGTCGCCAGATCCCACATATTTAGAATATGACGTTTTGGCGAAGTTTCGTTTACTTAACTGGGTGATTTGATCGTGAAGCTCTGATTTTCTTTCTAGGCAACATAGGACAAACTTCACAAGGTGAGCTAATCAGATTTCTCCACTTATCACTAACGGCTTATTCCGTCAATTTTAACTGGTTGTTGGCCCATGTTTTATGATTGTCTCGGCACATATATCGATACTTTGAAAGTAAGACAATCAGTATCAGATAGTTGTTATTCATTTACGACACGGGAAACTAACAACTAGTACTAAAAGGTATAATCATAATATGAAATGCTCTGAGTCTCCACATCATCATTAATACAATATAAGTAATGATAGCCGATTCCCATCGTCTTAACACTTATTACTGACAATGTATACTGCTTATCTTTATCATATTTACGCCCAGTAGAAACAGTGGCTATTCGGTAAGCTAAAGATTAGTTAAATAATAAAACCCACGTGAAGTATCATGTGTCTTTATTTACAAAATAATTTTTATTGACTGGTTACAACCTAATATTATATGGTTGTTGATTACAAAGTCACTTCATCAATGCTGCCTTTTATAGTACTATAGTGAAAGAGAACACATGTGATGACAACCAAATGTATTTGAATACAAAATTACAGAATGTCTTAGTAAAATCTGAGAACCATACACTAATTACTTCATTTGCAAAATGTCAATCAATCGTCTCAGACTTGATTGTTCCTTCGTTTCCACACCAATCATTCTTTATTCTTGTCCTCTTTTCTTCGGTCTTCTTAAACTTCTACCACCAGGCATTTCACTTTCGATTGGTGATACATACTTCATATATCCGTCGACGTCAGTAGCACACACCACAGTACTACTACTAATAATTTTACATAACGATATAATTTTGCCGAACAAACCAACATAATTTTTAAAGTTAATGTACTCATTTTTAAAGTCATAACCAATTACTTTTTCTGCCGTTATTACAGTTACTTATATTTCATGTATATTGGTTCGAATTTTTACACCTTTAGATAACAAAGACAAAAGATCGAAACAATACGGTGAACCATAGAGAATCGTAGGACAAGGTGAAGATTTTCATAAGTATACCTAATAAACGTATTTGCTATGCAATAATCTATGGTAAACCAGAGAACGATAAAGATAATAGTAGTAGTAATAATAATGTTGAATTCTTAGCATAGATGATTGTATCACCTACCCCTTATATTATATTATCAAATGGAAAAGGTTCACTATAAGGTGAGTAAAATTATACTTAGATCATCAAAAACTTACAGTTTCATATTACTGATGTCAAATATCTTGTGCATTAAAAATCAAAAGTTTTTAATACGCCTCACAGTGAGAACCCATAGCTTACTTAACTTCAAAAGATCTGCGTCTAATCTAATTAAATGTGAATCGTCATTCAAAGACGCCGTCATTTGTACTTTCAATGTTCATGTGTTAACCATATATTCGGACAGAACGACGGGTTAGAAATTTGGTCCATAAAATACACCCAATTATCTCCGTTGTAAAACAAGAGGTATATAAATTAACCTTTAATGAAATCCTTGAATATATATAAATTTTACCAATAAATAGCCAAAAAAGGATAATGCAGTTCCCCTGGATTAACAGAACGAACATGCTGAGATCAACATCCTGACGGAAATACATCTGGACGTTGAACTGCTAAATTTTTTATACTCGATTTATAACCATCAGGTTTTAAGTTGAAACACTTTCATATAAAATACAGGCATGGCTTACAAGCCAGAACACAAACATCCTTGTGACAACTGAGAATTATAAGTCAAACAATACATATATACTCATTCGGCAAAAATAAGAGCAGTTTGACATAGAAGTAACATAACACTATAAAACTGTCTACATACATTTGATAAATTCAATATTACACAGTGACATACTTAAAATTGGAATCTAGTTCTTCATCATCCATACCTAAAGATCGAGCTGCTCCCAGAAACGCCTCAGTAACATCGTATTCCAGAGCCTGAACTGCACTTTCATTTGCTGGAGGAGGTTTGTCTAAAATGTTATGTTGGATTTCACAAGTGGTCCCATAACGTGAGTTATTACTGTTGCTGAGATTATTTAAAATATTTAAATGATCAAGGAATGCCAAGAATAATTCGCCTCTTCCTAAAAGTAGGACATCTTTAACTAAGCGAAGATATTGAAGTAATTTGTGTTCTTTTAATAAACTACACCAAGCATGATATGAGACAACACTCTGTATATCGCATACTAAACTACTGATTTTATTAAGATCTATCAGGTTACTAAACGTTTCCCAGTCGACTGAAGTCCGTCTGAATTTTTTTCCAAACAAGTTGACAGTTCCGCAAAACGAGGACAATAATTTTTCTCTAATTCCAGTAAGAAAGAAGCTTCTGATGGATCATAGGTGGCAGAATACACAGCTTCACCAGTTTCAAGCACTCTTTGGGCAAATGAAGTTGGTAGAAATGATGGTAGGTTTGCATTATCTATCAAAAATCTTGGTTTTGTCGTCATAGAATCATTTTTTGATTGATCATCAAAATAACCATGAGAACCTTGTAAAATGGATGGATTCGGGTGGGTAGAGACTGAAGTAAAATCTTCTAACTTGATAAAAAATTCATAAAAAGGATCATGAACAACTCCATATATAAGCCACGATGATAATTGTCGTAAAAACACTTGCATCATGTGAAACACTAGCTTTTGGATAGTGAATCGTGGGCCTGGTAGACCAGGAGGCGCAGCTGATAATATTGTATCTAAAAGCCGACAGCTGGACTTAACGCCAGTAGTTTGAGGGCTTGTAACTATATTTTCCACCTTTTAGTGATTTTTACAAGCACAGGCAATAAAATCTTGTAGGAATGAAGACGATAAGAAATGTGTGAAACACCAAGATCAGCATCCATCAGAAGTTCAGTTTCTAGTGTACATAGATCTTTTCTGTATGCTTTAAGTGAATCATCAATTCCGAATGCAAATGCAGATAAATATAAACCATGATATGATTCGGAAAAGCGTTCATTAAATTCTTGCAAATATTTGTAGCAAGTTCCAAGTTTTAATAATTCCGCATAAAGGACAAGTTCACCTTGTGGTACAAAAGGAAGATTAGTTGATATGGGTATTAAATGTTGGTCTATACCTAAATCATCATCTTCTTCAGTCTTATCAGACTGGACGAATATACCACCGGAAATTCCATGTAAAGCAAGTAACAACTCATGTAACATTTAATAAGTAGAACTGAAGTATATCTACATGAATGAAGGGAAAATTAGCAAGCTTTAGGTATACCAATAATATGATCAAATAATATAAGTTTTAGTTGCAAATCGGCGAATATCAAGAGGAGAATAAAAGAGAATATTCTTCAATATAATAAGAATTTTGATTATTTTTTATCGTATTATTGCCCAGTGGTTTTTTGGTTCAAACAATAAATTTCTAACTAATGAGATTCCATCCGTATCAACCACATTCTCATCTAATAATAACGTAAAAACCTTGGTATAACGAAATATCGAGAATTCCATCACACAAAACATCACGACAACAGAGGAAATTATGCAATGATCACAAAAAAGTAGTAACGAAGGATGATGGTTATTGCTTCGAAAAGGATAGCTTATTGCACATAAAAAAAGATGGAACGCGATCTAAGAATGCTGCTCCCATTAATTAGAGGCTAGATGTGAAAATGCCTCTCTGATCTTTAAGACTCTATCTAGCGAGTCATATCGGGTTAACCAGTGGGAACCCAACAGTTGCCACTTATTCTATAGCACTCCATATCGAATGCAGCAATTAGTGTTTCATGAGATATTTTGGAATATGCGTAGAACTTTACTAATGCTTTAGGATAACATCAGTTGCATAATAGTCTACAGTATCCCTAGATGTTCACTAGTAAACATTGGTATAACCGTACATTCACCAAACACAACCGATCATTCGAAAGAAACAAAAACAGACGACCTTTAAATGCCCACAGCTTAATGATGTCAGTTTTCCCATGTGAACGGTAAGACTTTACGTTGGGCACCCAAAATTTGGTAGTCAGACTAACAACACAGCAAAGCCGACAATGACATGAAACAAGTTACTTGAACTTAAATAACTGCCCATAAAGACGGACATTTGAGTTATCTCCATGAGTCAACCATCGCAAGAGGGATAATTAAGAACTGAGAATATGAATACAAATAATAGTACGTAATAAAACAAGCAATAGAAAGTCAAGAAAAAAGATGGGTTCGAGAAGCAACAAATATGTGATGACACATTCGAGTGGAAGGAATCCATCTATGGCAATGAGAGCGCTTCAAGAGGCATCACACTAAATCTTTAACCATAAATTACGGTTAAATCGAAATTCTAATCAAGATATGAGCACTTTCCTGGAGAGATACAAATAAGAGTCAGTGATTCCAACTAAGGAAATATTGCCTTGATTTAATCACCTAAAGGCTGACTGTTTTAAGGCTCAGGAGTAACTTAGCCTATTCATCACCAGTTGGTTTTCCAAGTTTTGAAAAGTTTGGTGAGTATGAAGGGAACTAGTTAACAGAAATAGAATATATTTATTATCTGCACTTCCCTTTGGTTCGGTTAGACAACTGATCATGATTTCAGATGCAAATAACTTACTTTCACAAATACTTTTAGAACGATGGACATGTTGACCGAGAAAACTTATGACTTCGTACACACTGTAGGATGGTCAGAATCAGGTATGTGCTCGGAATGAAGACACAGTTTTGGAAAAAACTGCATCTAATTGCAATATTATCTGCTTGAGACGATGACGTGTAGATTATAGAAGACGATTATGTTAAAGGCTAATATCAATCAAAAATAGACTTCAACCTGCACATAGATGTAGAATGCTTTTATCCGATGTCTAGAAAACGTGTTCCATTTGGTCACAGCAATTTCTACGTCACTAGATATCTATTTCAGGCAATTAAGTGTCGAGATGATTTGTATGTTTGTCAACTACATTCAACTTAGATTATTATGTTCCTTGATTTCAATCTCCGAAATGTTTGCGTTGAATATCATTTTAGCGTTCGCAAAAATAACGAAAATGTAGCGTCAGTTATTCCACTCACTCCTCACCTCAAAATTAAAAATTTAGCCCATAAGCAACTAAACAACGTTTATTCAAGATTAATTTGGTAGCAGTTTCATTGGCTTCAGTATTTCTTAATGTTTAGACCCCAATATCACAAGGTATCTCAACAAGCCCATACAACACATAAATTCAAGCAAACAGGGCGAGTAAATTTGCAGTATTACCTAAAATTTGAGAAGCATTATACTACGTTTATGTTTACAATCTCCATTATTCTTCAACGTAAAATATTTGAGTGACTCGAGTCACCTTGTTAACTGATCATTTAAGTAAATGACCCTGAATAAATACGGAGATTACAAAACAACTGAAAACGACAAAAAATTTAAACATTCTTCAGTTATAGGAACATATTCAAGGTATCTAATTAATATTGGGGTCAAATAAACATACACCAGAGATTGGAACCAAGCAACCAATAAAGAGGAAATAAAGCGGACGAAAGCGTAGATAAAGGAGAAATACCGATTTTTCCCCTTCTTTTTGTGAGAGATTTGTAGAAAAGTACACGTAACCGCCGTGTTTGAATACGCCGCTCTCTGTACTCACACTTTCATAAAACCCTACAAAATAACGTACTGTTTAGTAAAATTGGAAGATAATTATCGTTACCACAAGCAGGAAAATGTAGATGCATATATCCGTAATACATTTTTTGTTTAGCTGAATTGTCTTGAAATGCTTGGTGGCCATCAAAAATAGCTAACGAGAGTGGCGTGCTCTCTATTTTTGTGCTCTCTGTCGCTCAGTTAAAATCAGTGAGAGGGCTCATTGACGTAGGGCAACTGTGAACTTGTTAAGCGTCCTTGGCTGCCATATATAGAAGTATAACAGATGCAGAATGAAATATGAACAACATTCGTGAAAAAAATAACTTGTTTTACTTTACTCATTTTGCTAATGAAAGCACGACGGAGGTTAGTGGACTTCAGCAGTGACTTATGTTGAACTGATTGCAGTCAGCACAAAAATTATTTCTAATGAGACTCCATCAGCTGTAACAGCATTCAGAGCCACAGCAATTAAGGGCTTCTGCATGATAATGGTGTATGTTAGAAGTGAATTCGTTGATATGTTTCTTATAAGATGTCATTAAGTTATTTCTTTTGTGCTCTCAGAAGTCCGTAAATCAACAAGAGTAAATAAACATGTTTTGATTAATTTTATGACAAAAACTTGTCTGAGCATCAGAGATGCTGATCGAATTCTGAATAATTTCCGAGATTATGTTCCGGACTAACTGAGTAGCATCAGATGTGTCCTGCGGATGTGCACAAGTGTCCAACCGAAGTTCTTCAGCAGAGAGGTTTACTGTTTCTGCCATCGAATTATTTCAAAAAGTTATCTTTTCTTTCATTTTGTTTTCAGGTCCCATTATGTCTATTATTCACATAACCTATACAGGCGCGTTTATGAAAAGTCTACGACTTTTCTCTGTACAAGTTACAAAGAATTACGATCAAAGACATCGCGGTGGTTGGTAGTATGCGTTGAAGTGAATGAACATTAATCGTATGTTGATTCCCGAACTGCTAAAATCTAACTGCCGATCGCTAGTTAATAGGGTAGATTCTTTTCAATTCCTACTAAGTTAAGCATGTGGAAACGCTTTAAAAAACTTACAGGTGACAGGCATATTAGAAGCGATGACCAGCTGAATGTTTGTGACTCAGATAAGTTTTTTGTACGTCAGTCATCGGATGCAATGCTCTCTATATCCACAGGTTTGAAGAATAGTTGTGTTCCTAGTTTCACTGAAACTGATGTCCGAAGATGTCTCCAGTCACTTACTTCATCCCAATGTTTATGACCTGATGGTATTCCAAACCTCTTTTATAAAAAAACATGCTGACGTTCTATGTTATCCATTCACGAGTATCTTTAACAGATCCTTCTCAACTAATCTCATACAGAAAATGTGGAGAAAGACAAAGATAATCCCTATACCTAAGAAAATATCTGGTGATAAAAATGTGAAACTTAGACCCATAGCAATAAATTCACTTTTCCTCAAAACAATGGAGAAATTATTGATACTTCCATTTCAACCTGCGATAAAAGAGCACATTGATCCGTATCAGTTTGCTTACATATGCAAAAGTACCTTAGTTGCCATTGCTGTTCTGCATCACAATATAGTATTCAGTTTTGAAGAGGGTAAGAAGTATGTTCGATGCGCTTTTCTGGACTATACTTGTGCTTTTGATTCTATACCAAGACCACGTTTACTTAACAGGTTAATCAGCGTCAACACTGACAGCTGGATAACAAATTGACTATGTTCCTATCTCTCTGGAAGCGACCAGTTCACTGTGTTTGGCGGAAAGTGTTCAAAGTCTCTAGTGTCCCATGAAAGTGTACCACAAGGAGCCGTTCTTTTACCTCTTCTTTCCTCTATTTTTCTGCATGATCTGCCATCTTCTACGGAAAACACTTCTGCGAAATATGAGGATGATCTCACTGTATGTATGCCTCTTTACATCCCATAGGAATGAGTGAGTTTTTGTCTCGTATCGATTGTTGGTCTGTTGTTAATGGTCTCAAACTTAATCTGTCTAAATGTTAAGCTGTTAACTTTAGCATAAAAAATGAACGGCATCTAAACAACACTTTGGGATCCCATAATGCTCGTGTTATTGGAGACTCTTGGACAAACACAGTGTCGAAGGTCAATTATCTTCGTGTTACTTTTTCCTCTGATCTCTCTCGGTCTTCTCATGTTTTACTGTTATCGAAGAAAGTTTTCCGTCTGACCTACTACATAAAGAGACTAAATGCCTTTGGGATTACTCTTCATTTACTCTTACAATTCGTCAACTGCATATTGCGTATTATTCTTTGCTGTTCTCCATTATTCTTTCCCGGGTTTTTGAGAAAAGACTTTTCTGTATTGTGGAGAGTACTGAAGGCAGTTAGCAAGGTGTGCGGTGAATCTTTTTTGGAGGTCATAGTTAATTTGGTTGTGGATAGACATCTAAAGTCATGCAAACTCCTGGCAGGTGTTATCAGATACTAACCATCCTCTTCACTCATATCTTTCTCCTTGTATATCTTCTGGCAGAACGAGACGTAATTACATTGAAATCCGTGCAATCA